CTCTTTTTCCCCCCATTCTCTCTGCATGTCTCTCTCTTTTCCCATTCTCTCTGCATTTCTCTCTTTTCCCATTCCCCCTGCACGTCTCTCTCTCCCCATTCTCTCTGCATCTCTCTCATTCTCTCTGCATGTCTCTCTTTCTCTCCTCCCATTCTGTTTTCCCATTCTCTCTGCATCTCTCTTTTTCCCCCATTCTCTCTGCAAGTCTCTCTTTTTCCCCCATTCTCTCTGCATGTCTCTCTCTTTTCCCATTCTCTCTGCATGTCTCTCTCTTTTCCCATTCTCTCTGCATGTCTCTCTCTTTTCCCATTCTCTCTACATGTCTCTCTTTTCCCATTCTCTCTGCATTTCTCTCTTTTCCCATTCTCTCTGCACGTCTCTCTCGTTCTCTCTCTCCCCATTCTCTCTGCATGTCTCTCTTGTTCTCTCTCTCCCCATTCTCTCTGCATGTCTCTCTCGTTCTCTCTCTCCCCATTCTCTCTGCATGTCTCTCTCGTTCTCTCTCTCCCCATTCTCTCTGCATCTCTCTTTTCCCATTGTCTCTGCATGTCTCTCTCTCTTTTTCCCCCATTGTTTCTACATGGCTTTCTTTTCCCATTCCCCCTGCACGTCTCTCTCTCTCTCCATTCTCTCTGCATGTGTGTCTCTCTCTTTTCCCCATTCTCTCTGCATGTCTCTCTTTTCCAATTCTGTCTGCATGTCTCTCTCGTTCTCTCTCTCCCCATTCTCTCTGCATGTCTCTCTCTTTTCCAATTCTCTCTGCATGTCTCTCGTTCTCTCTCTCCTCATTCTCTCTGCATGTCTCTCTTTTCCAATTCTCTCTGCATGTCTCTCTCGTTCTCTCTCTCCCCATTCTCTCTGCATGTCTCTCTCGTTCTCTCTCTCCTCATTCTCTCTGCATGTCTCTCTCTTTTCCAATTCTCTCTACATGTCTCTCTCGTTCTCTCTCTCCCCATTCTCTCTGCATCTCTCTCTCTTTTCCCATTCTCTCTGCAGGTCTCTTTCTCTTTTCCCATTCTCTGCATGTCTCTCTGTCTATCTTGCCGTTTTCCTCCACACTGTCTCCTCTCTCTGTTGAGCTGTGTATTAGCTGCAGGAGCGGACGTGATGAAGACGGAGCGAATGCCAGCACTCACTCATCCACAAAAACCTCTCACAGCACTGACCTGGCACAGACTGGAGCAGACAGACGGGGATGGGGGGTGTGTTATATCTGAGCCTGTTCACTCTCGCAGTGAATATAAACTATAAATACATTATCGATTTTAATGCTTTTAACAGACAAACATACAGAATAAAGGATCAAACGCTGCTCAGATGAGATTTTATTAGTGCGTTAGATAAATATAGTGTTTACATCACCTCGAAAAACAGTCTTCATTAGTAAGAAAGACATCAGCGCAAATAAAACACCAACTAAAGCATCAGTCTCTGCTTTAAGAAGAACAGGGCCTTCAGAGGCCTGAACAGCGAATAACAGAGACAGGAAATGAAGCAGATAACAAACAAAGCAGAAAGAGCAGTTCAACAAGGTCCAGCTTTATCTGGATCGCCCTCTACAGACGCTCTGAACCGGCTTCACACGCGCAGGTGGAGGTTATTTTTAAAGGAATACTCCGCTGATCTCTGCCTGCTGTATCCGTATCGCACAGTTTATTATCACAGACAGAAACTTAAATATGCTTCTCTGAAAAGAGCAGCAAACTCACTCTAAACTCACTGTAACAGGTGGGCAGATGCTGAGTTCTGCAGGTAAACATCAAGGTGTATATTTCTGTGCACCTCTATGAGCTCCTCAGGTAATTGTGTTTGTATTAGGGATGCAATGGTACACGGTATGTTATCAAATCATTCAGTGCGCCCCCTACAGCACACACACATGACCCGCCTGTTATTTCCTACATATTTCCAAAACTTGCTTATTGTGCTGCAGACTGTACAAATGAATGTACATTCGGACCCACAGAACATCTCTGGAGCCAATCAGAACATCTCTGGAGCCTATCGGAATGTCAGAACATCTCCGAAGCCAGAACATCTCTGCAGCCTATCAGAGCATCTCTGGAGCCTATCAGAGCATCTCTGGAGCCTATCAGAACATCTCTGGAGCCTATCAGAACATCTCTGGAACCTATCAGAGCATCTCTGGAGCCTATCAGAGCATCTCTGGAGCCTATCAGAACATCTCTGGAGCCTATCAGAGCATCTCTGGAGCTGATCAGAACATTTCTGGTCAGAATTTCCCTGGAACTAAAAAAGTCACCGTGTTACGTTTATTATGAGTTTCCAGTTTGAAACGCTGCACTACCGAGCTGGACTGTGTTGTTGTAGCTAAGCAGAACTGGGTACTCGGAGAATCTGCAATACATAAACACATATATAATCACAACGCTGAAAGCTTTGGAATCTGCTCGTCCTGAACAACTTCATGGCTTTCAGGTAATCAGTAGAAGTCTGTAAATAAAAATGTAGAAAGGTTAGATGTGTCCAGCGCTGTAGAAGATCCTGAACTGGCTCAGAAAGCTGTAGAACATCAAGAAAGAACTTACAGCAACATTAATATCCAGAATCCACCATGTATTTAAAAGTGGAGAGTAAATCTCAAAGTAGATAACTTCAGAAAAATGAATAAATAGAAAATCACAGTGTATTTTTTATCATTTTTATAAACTTGTTTACAAAATTCTTGAGATACTGAATAAAACATGTGAAAATAGCTTCTGGTGAATAGTCTGTAATATTAAATCAACCCTCTATGTTTTATTATTGTATGCAAAATGACAAAAATTGTGAATATGGCAAAGGATTCCAAACTAGTGTTTATTCAGAGAATTCAGCACCTGCCCATTGACTTCTGTAAGTCATTTCTGCGAGTCAATGCGTTTTCTGTTTTTTAAATACAAGAAAATGTATAGAAATTCATGTTTGTAGTAACTGACAATATGATACAGATGCAGCAGATACAGGTCAGAGTAAGTAAAGTACTCTAAGAAAGCAAAACAAATAAAAAATAAAAAATCTGCAAACCGTCTACAGAGGACTTTCGAAATAAAGCGACACCAAGATGGGTAAAAGTTTTTACACAATACATGAGATTCCTCAGGTCATCAGCGACTCGTTGGCTCCCCACACACATGCAAGCAAAGTGGAGCTCGGTCCATAGAGTGAAGAGAAAGAGGAATGATCAACAGTTTCCAGCAGCCCAAAGCTAAACAAGAGCTGAATAACGTTCTAGAGCCTGAAGTGTTTAGTCATCAGTTCCCTATACAGCAAAAGCGATGCATGCACAGCCAAACAGTGACGAGCAAAAGATGGAAAACAGGCCGATAATTTAAAATCACAGTACGGTGCGATATGCAAATGAGCATCAAACCAATCACTGAATGCTTTACCGTGTGCTGTGAGCACCCTGACCAATCACAGCCCCAGATTAGGTTCTGTGGTTGCTTTCATAAATCAACAAATTAATGTAGTCCAATAAAAAGGAACTGTTTTTATCAAAATAATGCAAGACAATCATTAGTATCGACAGTGTGCCCTCAAATGTGTTCCTTCATAGCTACTGTTGAATAACTGACTCTAAATGTAGGTATTGTGATATAAACTGAGTCTGTTCTACAGTTTCTCATTAGGCTGAATGAATAACCGACTCTAAATGTAGGTATTGTGATATAAACTGAGTCTGTTCTACAGTTTCTCATTAGGTTTGATGGGATCTTTTCCATTGCTCTGTAAAGCTTGTCCAACTTCGTAGCTATAAAAGAAGACATTAGTGGGCAGAGACTGGATTAGGCCATTGTACTATGTACCAGTGTCATTACAGTGTGGTCTTTTGTCCATATGGTGTGGTCCTAATGGTCAGTCAGTGAGTAAGACAGTTGCAGCACCTTCCAGCTGTTGGAGAACCCATCAAATACACTGGGAACATAAATAGCACGATATCCCAGCTGCTGATTTTCCAGCAGAGCGCGTTTACGGATCACTACAGTCGAAGTTGGTGAAGGATCTACTGAAGCATGGAAAACTTCAAAGCTTGCCTGAGGGACACAAACACACTTGGGACCACCTGAGACGTGGAGTTCTATATAAAACATGTTTATTATGACATCAGACAGACAAACAAATAAAAAAAAAAAAAGTGTACAAATCAAAATAACGGAATGTGAAAACGTAAAACGTCGCTCAGAGGCGCCCCCTGCTGGAGGAGAGGTGTTGATCAAACAGGCTCTTGGCGATAAAGGAATAGTTCAGTCAAAAGTGCTAATGATGCTAACAGTGAATGAAAGCGAATAGCCACCAGTTAGCATTATGGAACGATGCCATGCTAACTGCTAATTTCTAATTAACACCAAAACTCTTAAAAAAAAAAAAAAAATGCTTCTTCATGGTTTCTTTAGTTAAGGCAATGGTTCTATATAGAACCATAAACACTCAAAGAACCCTTTGAAAGATTAAAAGGTTATTTGAGTCATGAAAAGGTTCTTCAGACTGTGGTGAATGGGTTACAGGTGGTTCTATATAAAATCCTTTCTGAAAAGGGTTCTGTATAGTTCTTTGGCTTTTAACAATAGTGGAACCCTTTTTGGTGCTATTTAGAACCCTCTGAATGATTAAAAGGTTCTTTGAGTCGTGAAAAGGTTCTTCAGATTGATGGAGAATGTGTTACAGTTGGTTCTATATAAAAGCCTTTTTGAGCAAAGGTTATATATGGTACCAAAAAGGGTTCTTTGTCTTGTAACAACAGTGGAACCCTTTTTGGTGCTACACAGAACCTTTTGAAAGATTCTTTGAGTCATGAAAATGTTCTTCAGACTGATGGAGAATGTGTTACAGGTGGTTCTATATAAAAGCCTTTTTGAAAAGGGTTCTACATAGCACCAAAAAGCGTTCCACTCTTAGCAAAAAGGGTTCTATATGGTACCAAAAAAGGGTTCTTTGGCTTATAACAACAGTGGAACCCTTTTTGGTGCTATAAAGAACGCTTTGAATGATTAAAAGGTTCTTTGAGTCATGATAAGGTTCTTCAGACTGATGGAGAATGTGTTACAGGTGGTTCTATATAAAAGCCTTTTTGAAACTGGGTTCTATACGGTACCATAAAGGGTTCTTTGGCTTGTAACAATAGTGGAACCCTTTTTGGTGCTATATAGAACCCTTTGAATGATTAAAAGGTTCTTTGAGTCGTGAAAACGTTCTTCAGACTGATGGAGAATGTGTTACAGGTGGTTCTATATAAAAGCCTTTTTGAAAAGGGTTCTATATAGCGCCAAAAAGGGTTCCACTATTGCTACAAGCCAAAGAATCCTATTTTGGTACTATATAGAACCCTTTTTGCTAAGAGTGTAGCTCCCATTCATTGTTAGCCACATTAGCATGCTCTTCCTTTGAGAAATGGTCCATGTAAGTGCATTTTAATAAAGCTAGCTTGCACTGTAGAAACTTTATTTCACCCAAAATATGTTCTAATGCCCAGAAAGCCACAGCACCACTCATAGAAATCACACTGAGCACCGTAGAGGCTAATGCGAAACCTTAAGAGACCAAAAAAAACCCTTAGGGGCAGACAACAAAGGAACACAAATATAAATAAGAACGATTACGGGAGCAGCAGCATCTTTCACATTCACAGACTGTGCCAAAACCACTCAAAAATATCTCTGAAATGCCATCACCGCCAATCTTGGCGACCTTTCATTTTCTGGCATTCGGCTCCAAAAGCTTAACATATGGAACAGAAGGTGCCACCTACTTCCTACAAAGGCCTACGGCCCAGCGAGTGCACACACAACATATGAGCACATTCCAGACAAACCAGGCGCTTTCTGGCAGATCCTGATCACTCTCGACACATTAAGCAGCAGATCCAGGACAAAAAAAAAAGGAACAAACGTGGAATGAGGACAATCAAGAATGACCGTCAAACAGAATAAGTGCTGTTTAACCTTGAAATAACACAATAACGGGACATATTATCACCCAGGACCTCTGTTCCTTAAGCCACAGAATAAACGGAAAAGGTTTACTGTTATATCTTCGCTTGTAACAGATTGTTGGTCTTTTAAAGAGGGGCTCGTCCCCCCTTCCGTCTCCGAACGTGTTAAGATCTTAGTGTGGAAACAGAACTGTGTGTGTTCTGCTGTGGGATATTAAAGTAGGTATATGAATGTGGATGAAGTGCAGTGAAATAAACCCATGGTCACACACAGCCGTCCTGGAGTCCACTCATCATCACCTCTCCGTGGACTCTCCAGCCGCAAAGCTCAGATCGTCCGTCGTCAGCTGCTCACCTGAAACAAAAGGAAAAAAAAAATTATACAATGCCAGGATATGAGGTCATACAAATACCCCATGCGTATTATACATACTGTTGCTGTCAATATCCACCTCTTTGTTTCTACACTCACCGTCTACTTTATCAGCTCCACTGACCATATAGTTTCACTCTGTAGTTCTACAGTTACAGAATCTGTTTCTCTGCACCCATTTCTTCAATGGTCAAGACCCCCACAGAACCCCCACAGAGCAGGTATTATTTGGGTGGTGGGTCATTCTCAGAGATGCTGTGATGATGTGGTGGTCGTGTGTTAGTGTGTGTTGTGCTGGTCTGAGTGGATCAGACACAGCAGTGCTGCTGGAGTTTTTAAACACCTCAGTGTCGCCGCTGGACTGAGAATAGTCCACCAACCAAAAATATCCAGCCAACAGTGTCCTGTGGGCAGCGTCCTGTGACCACTGATGAAGGACTAGAGGATGACCAACACAAACTGTGCAGCAGCAGATGAGCTATCGTCTCTGACTTTACATCTACAAGGTGGACCGACAAGGTAGGAGTGTCTAATAGAGTGGACAGTGAGTGGACACAGTGTTTAAAAAATCCAGCAGCACTGCTGTGTCTGATCCACTCGCACCAGCACAACACATACTAACACACCACCACCACGTCAGTGTTACTGCAGTGCTGAGAATGATCCACCACCCAAATAGTACCTGCTCTGTGGGGGTCCATGGGGGTCCTGACCACTGAAGAACAGGGTAACAAAGTATGCAGAGAAACAGATGGACTACAGTCTGTAACTGTGGAACTACAGAGTGAAACTATAGGGTCAGCGGAGCTGACAGAGTGGACAGTGAGCGCAGAAACAAGATGGTGGTTTTAATGTTGAGGCTGATCAGTGTGTGCGCAAAAAACGTTTTGTGGATCCTTCATTTGGTCTAGTTTTTCTCTGATTTTACTACAAAGTCAGACTCACTTTTAACTCTGTCCTTATAAAGTGACCGTGCAGTGAAGAGGCTGCCTGACTCATCTAAAACTGCCTACAGAGAAAAGAAGCTAAAAGGCTGTTCTGGAAAGGCATCTGAACACTAAGCCAGGATGGTATTTAACAGTGTTTCAGCTAATTATCCTGCATGGTGGAGAGTTTTTTCTGAAATTGTTTGTGTGTAATAGCAGATAATTGTGATAGCCGCAGTTCGAGCATCCCTTAAATACTGCAGGGATAAAAGAGGTGTCCTAGTATTACTGTACAATGACTTATCTTCTGATATTTTTGTGTATATATTTGTGTACACACACACACACACACACACACACACACACACACAAAGTGAAAATTAGTTATACATCCTCAACACACTTCTGCACATTTTAATACAAAATTAATTGAATGAATTTAACATATTGGAAAAAATAAAACGTTAAAAAAAAACAATAATAAAAAATGTGCAAAAGTTTTTTTTTTATTTTAAACTCAGCAAATAAATACAAATTGCGCAGTAAGTAAATACACATAAACAAATACTAATTGTGCACCAAGATGTGGAGAGAAATGCCGTGTTATATGCCGAAGACAACAGTGAAATTTCAAGAAATAATCTTTCAGTTGCACCCAGGCAGGGACATGGGGAATGCGTGGGGAGGGCTGAGGGGGCTGAGGGGGCTGCGGCACCCCCAGAGTTCAGGATTGTTTAACAATAACAAAAACGCAACTTTAACAGAACTTTAACATAACTTCGCATTGTGTAGGATGGAGTTTGTATTTTTTTTATTTATATATGCTCGAAATCTGCAGTTAACACTGCATTAACGCAACTCTGGCAGCTTTGGTCATGTCTCTGAAACATAAGCAGGAGACTAGTTCTTGCTCTGAGCCCTGAAGCGGAATAATTAATAATAATAATTTTAAAAACTTTTTGTTTTCAACCAGCAAAATTATCTCCTTCTGTCATCTATTTTTTATTCAACCACTGTAATATCTCCCGCTAGCTTGACTGTGGGCGTTTCTCGCCTCACATCAACAACCTGATTGGTTGACACTCAGCTCATCTGCATAAAGTTTATCCGGGTCGAGAGCGCAGAGACAGTAGGGTGATCATCAGGACTGGGTTGCACCAGTTTTGCGTACGTTTATACACAAGTTTGTGTATAAAGTCTTAGTTAGACTAATTAGTTTAAACTCTCCTTTAAGTCGTGTCTCAACTAGTAACAACTAACTAACGTGTACGTCACTCTAACATGACGATAACACGTTCAGAACCGATCAGTACACCTGCTGCCATGGAAACACGACAGCAGCCGCCGCTGTCTGTTTATTCTTTAATATTTCTTTGAGGGGATTTTTCCCTAATTTAATCGTCTCCAATTCCACCCACTAGTTAGGACTCAATCACACAGTTCCACCTGCTCTAGGAGGGCGAAGGCCAGCACAGTCTTCCTCTGAGTCCTGTGAAGATGTGAAGTTCCACCGCATCTTTTCAAACTGCCACTAACGCAGCGTCATTGGACAGCTGAACGTGCTCGGAGGAGACGCTAACCACCAGATCTGTTACATCAGCTAACAGACACCTGCGCTGACAAGCATCACACTGAGTGATGGGGGGGAGACGGGGGGCCATCCTGCCCATCCAGAGAGAGCGAGGACAACTGTGCTCTCTTGAACTCCTGTAGCATCACCAGGGATCAAACTCGCGATCTCCTGATGACAGGACCAGAACTGCTGTGCCACTCGGGAGCCCAATATGCAGTTTTTTAAACACCGGCTTCTGGCTGCCCGACGCAACAGCAGCCTCAGTTTAGCCGTTTGTGCAGCTGCTGAGTCTCTGAGCTGGAGCTGCGGATGTTTAGCTTCATGCTTGGAGTTTAAACCACGATTAGACGATTACAGCTGCGAGAAAAATCAAGAGTTTTTAGCTTAGTTAACCAAACAAGTCATGGTCATTTCGTGCTTTCCATGTCGTTTCTGATGGCTACTCCAAAACGTACACCTGCTCAGGAAGGAGTAAATATTTAATGACTACTAAGCTTAGTGTTAATACTAGTTTGTGGTGCAACTTGCTTGGATTTAGTGATGCATAAACCTGAACTTAGTTGCGCACAGCTGGTGCAACCGGCCATAGCTGTGGTTGCTGTGTTGTCTATATGTGTACAGTTATATATTGTCACCTTCTCCAAAACAATTAAAATGAAAAAGGACAAAAAACACAATTTTTAGCATGACGTCACTGTGTTCCTTATGTATGTGCTACTAAAAATTCCATCACCCCCAACGTAAAACGCCTTCCTGCGTCCCTGGACATACGGCAGACTAGTTAGCCTGAAATCCCGTTATAATGACGTTTTTAAACAAACAGAAAACCAATGCGTTGGTGGGCGTGTTTAACCTGGGCAGGTGAGCGAGTCGTACTGGCGTTCTCCGGCCTGCAGAGCCACAGCTTCGTCCTCATTCTCACACTCCGTCTCGCACTCCGCCTCACTGTCACTGCTCATACCTGCCAACAGGTGAGGAGACTGCTTCTGACACAGCAGCCCTGATACAAAACACAAATCCAATGTAACTGAAAAACCCATTTTCAAATTCAACTCAAATAACAATTCAAATGACAGAAACATGTAAATCAAATGTATATGAAAACAACAGGATTAACTACATTAATGATAAAGACTTCGAATAATGACTTAGACGTCTTTCGCTAGTGCTGTGATGAGTGTTGGTGTGCATGAGGTTCACCTTCGTCCGGTCGTGGGTTAGCAGGCGGCTCGGCGAGCGTGAGCAGTGACTGGCGGATTTCGCTGGGACCCTCGGGCTCGCAGTCCAAAGATCCATCTGTCAGCAAACCCACCCTGTGAATCAGAGGAGGAAGAGTGAGAGAAAGCCAGACGTCATACAGAGTCAAACTTGCGTCGTCCGTTTTGTTGTTTTAATGATGAAGATGGTGTCAAAAGCGCGTGTTTGTTTACCCTCGGCGGGTGTCTAGATTGAGCCGTCGCTTCAAGCCTAAACCTTCTAAAAAAACTTGTGCAGCACAGAATGCTTAGCTGCATACTTAAAAATGATGGTTCTTCAAGGGTTCTTTAGTAAAGAAAAATGCCTCTATATAGAACCATGAACACTCAAAGAACACTTTGCATGATTAAAGGGTTCTTTGCATCATGAAAGGGTTCTTCAGATTGATGGAGAATGTGCTGCAGATGGTTCTATATAAAACATTTTTAAAAAGGGTTCTATATAGCACTAAAAATAATTCTTCTATTGTAACAAGCTTGACATCGTAACAACAGAAGAACCCTTTTTGGTGCTATATATCCTTTTCAAAAAGGTTCTTTATACAACCATACACAACACATTCTCCAACAATCTGAAGAACGTTTTTGCAATGCAAAGAGCACTTTAATCATGCAAAGGGTGCTTTGAGTGTTCATGGTTCTATATAGAACCATTTTCTTTACTAAGGAACCCTTGAAAGACAATCTTTTTTAAGAGTGTACATTCTCCGAGGGTTCTCTGAAGAACCCTTTCATGATGCCAAGAACAGTTTAAGCAGGCAAGTGGTTCTTTGAGTGTCCAGGGTCTAGATAGAGTCTATATAGAACCACTGTCTTTGAATCTGAGTGTAGTTTTTTATTTATTAATGGTTATAAATTATATAATTAATGAAAGCGTGCAGCATCTTGTCCATAAGTCAAGACATAAAATAGATATCATAATAACGGGTGAATAATAATAATAATAATAATAATAATAATATAAATAATAATAATAATAATAATAATAATCATCATCACCATTATCAGTTAACAGGCAAATAAACTATTGGTTCATTGTCTGTCATTTCCAACAAACAAGTATATGTATTTATATTTAAATAAGCAGTTTATTATTCAAGTTGAGGAACGTTTTCAAATTGTCCATGATGACACAAAAGGAGCCCATCATTATATATTCCATTCATTTGGTCAACTTCAAAGCGTTTGGCCATAAAATCATACAGTCATAGAGTCATGAACATATAGATGTCAGCCCCTCAGTTTGAACAGAACCAGATTCTTACATGGGGTTTGTTTAACCCTCTGGTTCCACAAACTCGCCTGCATTTCAAATTCTCCATTTCTATATCTGTTTGTGTATCTTTGTGATGATTCAGCACAGAAATCCAGTTCAGACACTTCCTGAATCTGTAGAGTCGCCCTTTCCATTCCATCTTATCACGAGATCATACGAGACTCACATCCGGAGTTATGAGCCTATGAAGAGGGGCTGAGATACACGTCATCTGCCTCTCACCGTGTGGAACTGGTGGATTCGTGTGTCCGTCTACATTCTGTGTGAAACTGACCAATGGACACTCAGGAAATCACTAAAGACTGACCATCACGCCGGAAACCCTTCATTCTTCATTCAGTCCACATCGGAGACTCATGTGAAACGGCGTGCAGAGAGTTTACAGCTGCTGCAGCGGTTTTGGAAAGTAGTGATGAAGATAACGGAGCATTTTGATATGAATCATATGAGGATCATGTTATATGAAGAGCCTTTAAAGGAGGATTTAAGAAGAGATGAACAAATCAAGAAGATGCCCTCAGACCCCAGAAGGGTAATACAGTTTAAGGTTGTTTACTTAATTTATCTACTAATTCCTGCTACATTTCAGGCCCAAACAAGGAACAATTTTCAATATCTTGGTGCATTACTACAGAATTCAGTTGAGCTCATAGGTGTGTGTATTTTCTAATGTGCCCCAGCCAATCAGATTACAGAACCGAAACAGTTCATTTTATGATTCATATTCTGCTGGGTCGTGTGGAGGGAAAGGGTGTCAGCTCAGAGAGGGTGATGTTATGGTTACCCGATGGAGGGAGTCCTGCGCTGCTTGGCACCTGTCGGGGGCGCCCCGTTCAGGGTGGCGAGGCTGAATGCGTCGGAGCTGGACGCTCCGTACAGAGACTCGTCAGGTTTAGATCCGCAGTGTTTGTCAGAGGAGCAGGAGGCGCTGGGCAGAGACGAGGGAGAACCGTGCAGGCTGAGAGACTTCACCGAACCTGAAACACAACACAGGAGTCAAAGGAGTCACAACTAACGCTGCAGCTAACAGAACAGTCTGCACTGCTATACTGAACATTAGGCTGGGTTTACATGGGGAAACTTTCATGCAACTTTCAAGCATGTTGTGAGTTTCATGCAACATGCTTTCTGCTCAGAAACTCTGTGGTTTGGTTATTCTTGGTGTGGAGTTCTGGGTGTGGAGTTCCTGGTGTGGAGTTCTTGGTGTGGTTCGGTAGTTCCTGGTGTGGTTTGGTAGTTCCTGGTGTGGTCTGGTTGTTCTTGGTGTGATTTGGTTGTTCCTGGTGTGGTTCGGTTGTTCTTAGTGTGGTTTGGTTGTTCTCGGTGTGGTTTGGTAGTTCCTGGTGTGGTATGGTTGTTTTGGTAGTTCTTGGTGCAGTAGAATTGTTCTTGGTGTGCTTTGGTTGTTCTTGGTATGGAGTTCTGGGTGTGGAGTTCCTGGTGTGGAGTTCTTGGTGTGGTTTGGTTGTTCTTGGTGTGGAGTTCTGGGTGTGGAGTTCCTGGTGTGGTTTGGTTGTTCTTGGTGTGGTTCGGTAGTTCCTGGTGTGATTCGGTAGTTCTTGGTGCAGTAGAAGCCATTAGGTGAAGGCTAATGGCTACTCTTACTGGAGCTGTGTGTTGTCATTTTTAATAACTGATGTAATCATAATCTAAAAATCTTTCAATCCTTCATTAGCACTGCAATGAACGACTAATTTGATAGTGGAATAATCTAACGATTATCGAAACAAATAATCGATTATTCGATTATGAATTACTAAATGACCAAATAACTCTTAAGTTTAACAGCTTTTAAGTTTAGTTCGAGGTTGTTTTTATGCATTTGCTAACTAACAATGAAGACAACAAAAATGAATACCTCATTCAAAAATTCACTGTTGTAATGAACTTTTCTGCTAATACAAAAAAATTAATAAAACTCTGATTTCTTTTTCCGGTCAAAATTTAAACCCAAGGAGGTGCAATGTAGCAGTAATAAAATTTAACAAAATGAATCATTTTAAATTTAAACAGTGCAGTCTGTGCTGTGTGCATTCTGCTTTCTGTCTGCAATTAAATTCTACAATCACAGGTCTTTATTGATACGGAGGAAAGTCAGCATCTCTTCACGCTCCTGTGAAAGTCTCGCTCTCCTCTGAGAGCAGATACTCCCCACTGCAGGGAAGATGGGCTCTGATGGAGTGGATGGTGAACGTGGTGAACGTTTGTGGCGAACGTCTCCACAAACAGTTAAATTTCAACAATTTTGTGTAAATAATTCAACGGCAACCCTTCACCCAGCTCCCCTGTGTGTTTGAAGAGAACTACCTGCTGAAACTGTGAGTGGAGGCAAACGTTAGAGGGAAACAGAAAACTGTTTGCAGACGTTCTCCTTGGTTTGCCGAATTTGAACACACTGGTGGCCTCAATATTAAGACGGCGATGCAGTGTTTAAAACTGTAAACATTATCTGGAAAGTGAACACGGTCGTTGTGCAGTTACTTGCTTCTCCGTTCTAATTCCATTAATGAGTCAAGAAAACAGCATTTCAAAATAGAAAATGTTACAGCTCATCTTCAACTTCAAAATAAAACAGACTGCAAGACAAATACTGTTACATTAGTGAGTCTTAAAGCTCCAGACGGTGTTTTCAGACATTTTAATCGGCCAAACTGATTGACAACCGTGATGGATGGAAACTATGGTCAGTCGACTAACTTTCCCCTCATGGGAATATAAAGCTGAATAGCAAAGCTGAATGATGAGGTAACGACGAGGGCTGAGAAACAGTGGAATGAGGTACGATGGTTTGGGATCAGGTTTAATACTAACTGTCTGTAGTAGAGGGTCCCTCTCTGGGGCAGAGGTTCAGATCCACAGCTGCATCTCCTCCTCCACCTCTCAGCTCCTTCTCTCCAGGCTCTCCGGACCTGCGCAGGGAAAGACCTCCTACCGCCCCGCCCACTTCCTGTTTAGGGGAGAGTGCCTTCTTCCCACCTAACACAGGAAAAACAAAACAAATCACAGTTTGTTTGGTGTGATACTGTTTTCAGAATGACTGTGTGGATCATATGAACATTATAGAGGCTTTTTAAATGAAACAGTAGAAGCCATATCGCCCCCTACACTTCCTGTAGTGTATTACAGTCTGTCAGAGTGACTGTGTGGATCATATGAACATTATAGAGCTTTTTAAATGAAACAGTAGAAGCCATATCGCCCCCTACACTTCCTGTAGTGTATTACAGTCTGTCAGAATGACTGTGTGGATCATATGAACATTATAGAGCTTTTTAAATGAAACAGTAGAAGCCATATCGCCCCCTACACTTCCTGTAGTGTATTACAGTCTGTCAGAGTGACTGTGTGGATCATATGAACATTATAGAGCTTTTTAAATGAAACAGTAGAAGCCATATCGCCCCCTACACTTCCTGTAGTGTGTTACAGTGTGTGCGGTGGTTTTGTCCGTACCGTGCCGCCCGTGCCGTGACGCTCCATGTGTTTTGAACAGCAGGTCTAGTTGGCTGGGTTTTCTTCTGGCTGCTGGCTCCTGGTCAGCCGAGGGTCCGTGCTCCAGTGGAGCCACTCGAGGGTCCGTCGCTCCACGGGCCTCCAGTTGCCCCTTCACATCCGACATTTTACTTCGCACCTCCGCCATCTGGGCCTTCAGCCGGGTCAGCACACCAGAGTCTGGGACGGACCGCCGAACCGCCTGCGGCCGGCGCTCACGATCCTTACGAGGCGGAACCGCAGCAGCTGCTCGAACACAGCAGGTACAGAGTAAATACATGCAGAAATTATTATATTATTATTATTATACCTTTTTAAAGCAGAACTCCACTTATAACGTATAAAATGAATAAAACTGGTTTACGTTACTGTACCTTTAAGACTGAGATATGTAAATGAACCCTGTTCCCACTGTTCTGTATTATGCCTCAATCAAAAAGCACTCCTACTCCTTGTAACTTAAAATGGGCAGGACTACAGGCTGACAGAGGTGGACACATGCCAGGGGCGAATACATGCAAATGTGTTGGTTATTGTGGCATCACAAAAACACTGAATTCAAAACAGGCATTCAAATCAGTTCACATTTATGAACAGGGGAGTAAACGGCACATTTGAATCTTTAACTCAAAATCAGCAAGACGAATGTGTTTTTCCACAAAACAGGCCCTTTAGTAATGTGCAGCATTGTAACTGCTGCAAATAATACAGTGTGAGTAATTAAGTGTGAAAATGGCTTTGTAATGTGGCTCAGTAAATCACTTGTGGGTGTCATGTTTCTGTGATCTCATTAACCCTGTTTTGTGGTTTTATGGCTCATTGCTGTTTTAGCTCATGAGAAAACTTTTGGATTATTAAAGGGCCCATATTCTACGCTTTTCCTGCTATCCTCCTATGATGTTTGTGTCACAAACAATCACAATTCATTTTTACGTGATGATTTTCCAACCTCTCTGTATCACTTAGAATTAAATAGGCTGTTTTAGTTAATGTACCTTTAAGACTAATATGTAAATGAGCTCTGTACTAATTAGCTTCCCTGTATCATGCCTTACTCAAATAGCAGCCCAGGAAACACTCCTTGTAATTTAAGTATAACTGTCCAGGGCTAAACTGCTATCGGCTGAATGAGTGGGTGTATGACATCAGAAAAACAAGTAATTTGAAATAGGCTGCTCAGTGTCCATATTTGGCCTGTAGGGAGTGAGAAGTGAACAGTATGTCCTGACATTTTAGCAATGTTTAAAAACTTCAACACTTTTATGTCAAAAAAGTGAGGTGATCTTGGTTTTCCATGATAATGGCCCTTTAAAAGACTCACTGTTGATTCTCTCGGCTTATAAGCTGGTTTAGACGGCTATAAGGCAATGCTGTATGACCCTGTACTCTTGAGGAAAAATAGAAGAAAAAGCATATTATAATTCAAATTCAAAAGTACTGTCCATTTGAGTGGGTCAGAACTCTGTGTGAATGGACTAACTGGTGGATATTGCTTTTTAACAGAGGTTTCTGGAACGTTGGTAGTGCTGGTGCGTTCAAACAGTCTTTGTAGAGTCTTTCACAGCTGACAACCCATATGGGGGTGGGGTCATATGTAAATGTGTTCATGGTTGTGACATCACCCATAGGGCTGATTTTGCTGCGGAGTTTCCATATACGCAGTGTATAGACTGGGGAGTTAAGACTTCAGGTCACCTTGGTCCTTGTCTTACCTTGGTTGTGAAGCAGCGAGGCTGGTGGGCGAGGCTGCATCCCCCACAGTGACTCCACATGGCTGCGGTCCTTCAGGTCCAGCAGCTGAATCAGAATGACCGGGTCGATCTCCAGCAGACTGGCAGAGGCTCCGCCCCCTCGCCTCAGTCCTCGCACACCTGCACTCGAGCCTCCTGAGTACGAGGGGGAGACAGTCAGTGCATTCCTATTAACTCAACACAGCAGCTATCACTCAGATCAGTGGTGTACAGTTGTGGTACTGGAGGGCTGAAGTCCAGCACAGTTATGGGATTTACCTGCTACGGCTGCAATTGATTAGCTGATGAAGTGGATTAGTCGTTAAAGAGCTCTATAATGTTCATATGATCCACACAGTCACTCTGACAGACTGTAAAACACTACAGGAAGTGTAGGGGGCGATATGGCTTCTACTGTTTCATTTAAAAAGCCTCTATAATGTTCATATGATCCACACAGTCACTCTGACAGACTGTAATACACTACAGGAAGCGTAGGGGGCGATATGGCTTCTACTGTTTCATTTAAAAAGCCTCTATAATGTTCACATGATCCACACAGTCATTCTGACAGACTGTAATACACTACAGGAAGTGTAGGGGGCGATATGGCTTCTACTGTTTCATTTAAAAAGCCTCTGTAATGTTCATATGATCCACACAGTCACTCTGACAGACTGTAATACACTACAGGACATGTAGGGGGCGATATGGCTTCTATAGTTAGAAGCGAAATAGTCCCCAAAGAAAACTTATTTCAGATTTTCCACTAATTTCCATCATCAACATTCCATATAAACTCAGAAGACTCGTGTAGGTTCACTGGTGGTTCTGGATAGTAAATAAAATGTCTATATCTGTGTTGTAGTCATGGCGACCCCTGGTTCCTATCACCACCACTGTAAAGACATCTGAACCATTTCACACCAAACCCCTCTGAATCACTCTGTTTACACCTCACACACTGAATTATGCAGAAATCTTGAACAAATCTGTGGAATTTTCCTTCAATTAAAGTCTTAGTCACAGCTCCATTACTCGCTCAAATACTCCTGATTACACTCAGCGGTCAGTTAGCAGGTTTAGCAGGTGCGTTTAAGCAGGAAATCACCAAAATGGACCAGAGTTCAGCTCTCCAGGTCCAGGAGATCCCTGGTTTGGAATACATGATGTTCAGCAGAATTTGTGGGTGAAGTTTTTGATAAGGAGAATCACCTGTGGCCCCCATGATGTCATCCGGCAGCTCCCCCTCCTCCAGGTCCAGATTTCCACTGTATTCCACATCATTCTCTCCAGACCTGTAGAGACAAGAACACCTCAGTACAGACAAACACACAAACAACACCAAAAGACCACTTTTTCCCCAGTTTCCCTCCACGTAGTCGATCAGGTAACACAACTTTGGTGTCCGTAGTTTGCTTCTTTAGTTTCAGCACTGGAGCTATGAGGCTAATGTAGCTAACAAGCAACAGAAGCTTATACTCCACTGGTTAGCATGGTGCTAACTAGGGGTGGGGAAAAAAAGATTCCTAGATGCATTGTGATGCGGACGTGGACGATTCTGAATCGATTCGTAAATGTCAAAAATCGATTTTCTAAATATTTAATTTATAACATAATGTTGACGGAACGCAAAAGGCGGAACTGAAAGTGGGTAAGTGCAGCGCCCGGACAGTCTGTGGCGGCACATAACAAAAACACAAAAGGATGAGGGAGAAATCCGACCGGCTCCCTCTGCATTAAAGCCAGGTTAGATCAGGAGTCACAACACAAATGATAAGAAGAGCCATTTTGACCTTTCAACACAAATCAAACCAGCTTGGGAGCCGCAACATTTAATGTCCAGTATGTCTCAGTGCGTGATGATGTCCTAGGAAGGAAACGTTTCCTCAAAAGCAGAGCAGTTTCTCATAAAATGCCTCTCAGCGTTCGACTGTTTTTACGAGGCCGAAGTTGCTTCTTATTCGCCAGCTTCTTGTTCGAATTTTCGTAAGGTGGAACGGGAAAACGATGAGGTCTCACACTTTTCTTATGGAGATATTACTCAGCTGAGGCTGGGCTGAGACAAGTTAATCCACATATGTGACAACATTTTGATCAAAGTGAGAAAATCTGAGTTTTATTTCTCAAGAGTTGAATTTCAGAAACAGGAGAAAATGGCTTAAGTCTCACTCTGATTTCAAACTCCATGTGTAGGAGAAGTATCGGAGATCAAGAGGAGGTCTCATTTAGAATATTTCTCTCCTCTGGGGTAATTCATCATAACAGCAATGAATAGAATGCACTGGGCAAGTACATCGTAAAAACCCACTGGGAGCCGTAAAGAAACGCGCTGATGTAGAGGCTGATAAATACAAATGTTTTTCAGTTTCTCCCACCTTCAGGATCAGAAGTGGGTTTTAGTCTTTAACCCAGAACAACCTCCCTGTGGAGATACTGTAACACGTCTGTAGGAGGAGAGCAGCATGTTTACAACAGATGTAGTGATAGTAGCGTTTTCATTTTGGCCAGTTTAAGTGATCACATATAGACTTGATTATGTGTGGCACTGTATGACGCACTGTTATTCATAAACATGAACACTTAATTTAACGGCGTTTGATAAGAGAGAAAGAAAGATATTTTTGGCGCACGTTCAAATCAGCCTTACTGTAAAAAATGACATCTATCCAAATAAAAATGCCTTAAATCTCGTCACTACATCTCATATCTCTCATAATGAGACTGCTGTAAGAATAAAGATCATTTAACGTATTTCTAAACATTTGTACTTGCTTTTAGTAATTTTATCTAGTGAAAGTGTCTCATTCCAATTCGCGTATTTCAAGAAATAATGCTTAAAACAAGTAAAATTGTTTATTATTATACTGATGGAACGGGCCATTTAAACTAGATACAACTGCCTAAAATAAAAGGCTTTTTAATCAAAAAAAAATCACAATTTGAGAGTGAGAATTTTCAAAATCACGAGAGCTGCAGTTTTATAAAAACTACAGCCCACATCATCAGCAATGTTGTTCTAGGTTTTAAGAGAGGAAATGACCCAGAGCTTGTGCACTGCCCGGAGATAAGGTAGACCAATCAGAGGCAACCAAACCTTTATGTGTTGTGACATCACAACTACAGCTTACTGGCAGTCTGGCAGACGACATTCAGGGTTCAAGCCTCAAGCCAGAAAAGGTGGATATTCTGGTCTTCTTGGCCAAAAATCAGGCCTGAACTTAATCTATAGAAAATAATTGCGATTTATATCGCAGTCACAATCTTAGTCACAAAATCACAATTAGATATTTTCCCCAAATCGTTCAGCCCTACTAAAACTAGGGGTGGGAATCTCTCGGCACCTCATGATTCGATTATTGATGCATCTTGATTCATCTTTTTTCTATACAGGATTTCTATTCTCTCACTGTGTGAGGACTTGGTAGTTTTAAAGCAAAGTGTTTGTAATGATCCATAATGAATTTACTTCCAATATCTTTTATTAATAAAACAAACAGAAGCGAAGAGGGAAGTGAACTGGAAGGCTCTCATTCACTGCTCTTGTTTGGAGCACATGAGACGCTGCTGCCACTCATCTGTGATACAATGCACTGTTACAGTGACATAAGATCCAGTGGTAGTGAGTGTCCACACAGCACGTTACAGCCGTCCTACCAGTTTTCTTCAGTGATTCCATAACTTCGGTTTTGGTCTCATTGTAGAGAGTGGGGGGTCGCTGGGTCAGTAAAATATCTTTGAGACTGGACGCTGTATCTCGGCTCCAAAGTGTGCAACACAGCGTGAAAGCCCTGGTTCTCAACGACTGAGTACGAATGAAATAAAAGTTTGAGTTTGTAGTTCAGTTCCAATTTGGGTGGAAGCCTTGACACCGCTTGCTCGATGGTCCTCTGGTTGGCAGTAAGCACAACCGGATGGAAAACGGGTGGAAACATGTAATATGGTTTCTCATGTTAGTCGTTTCCAAAATATTTTAGTTTTGTGTGACACAACTTGTATATAGTGTGGCTCTTATTCGGGTCCTTTTCTCTTTAACTCCATAGAAGCCAAAGTGCTTCCATACGCCAGGTCAGGGGTTGGAAACCTGCAGCTCTTTTACTGCCCTGTTGCGGCTCCACGGTTGAATTAAAATGTTTAGGCAAAATAAAATAATCCTCCTTTGCTGTAAAATAAAGCTCTGCTGATCGTTCAACACAGTTTAACAATAAATGGTCTTAAAAGCTGCAGGTTGGCGTGCAGACTGCAGGTCACATAGCAACGCAGACCATCTCGCCTAGCTAGTAGCTAACGAAAAGGCAAAGAGACAGATTTAAGACGAACATTTGGAGACGAATGGACGCATTTATAAGCACTGCAGTTGGTTTCCTGGTGCGTTAAATCTTTGCGTTCTGTCAATGTTACGTTAATTTTGGAAAATCGATTTTTGACATTCAGATTCAGAATCGTCCACATTCACATCGTGATGCATCTAAGAATCGATTTTCCCCCCAGCCCTAACTAAAACAAGTAGAACACGTCTAGAAATAAGTTAAATAATCTCACAATCTTCTCACAACAATCTCACAAAGAGGAATATTAGAGATGTTGAAGATTTGCTAAGACTTGCTAAGAAATCATCTTTTTGCATTGCTCAAACAGGTTTGTGAAATTCCTCCTCAGCGTTAGAGGCGAGGAGGAATGGAGTGGTGCAATCTGTGATGAGAAATGCTGGGGGCTGGGGATGGCAGCCCCCCGCTGAGTGGGAGGAGGGCGTGTGATGAGTCAGTCCTCTCCAGCGGTTCTCCTCCCTGCACTCAGAACTCTGCTGTATTTATAGACGCTTAAAAGCACCGACTCTACAGAGCTAACAGATAAAAACCAGCTGGCCTAAAAGACTGAAAGCCCTCTCACTCTCTCTCTCTCGCTCAAGCTTTCAGAATTGGTATACAAACAATCATCCATATCCCATAATCAATCACGTGACCTCCACTAGAGCAGTGCGAATAAATCAACTACCGAAGTTTTGGTTTGTTACGCAGGTTTATGGTTCTCTATTCGGAAACTTCATCTGTGGTGCTAAATCTCACACTGGCCTCAAACCACGTCAAGTTGTTAAAGGGAAATTCCACCAAATCCCCAAATCCTACACAGCCTTGTTTTAAACCCCATGCACAGTAAGTGAGGCCACATTTACACTGCTCCGGCATGTCGACACACCACAACGTATCCCATTCATTTTCAATGGAAAGCGTCGGTTCCGCCAGACGTGGCCGCGAAGTGCATGATGGGTCCGGCGTGTCAAGTCTGGTGGATGCGGTGCGGCGAAAAGTTGAGCCGAGCTGAACTTTATGCAGATTAATCCGACGAATACTACACGTCTATCCAATCAGAAGACAGCTGGTGTTTGCGATGTGTTCACAATCCAATGTATGAAACGTTCTGATTTCAAACGTTCCGGTGGAGCATGGAGGAAAAACTCCAAATAATTTTAAACCTAGACATTTGCAAATTTAATGTGCGTATATATATGTAATCAGCACAATTATTAATTAAAATTTGACTTATGTGATTTAATTGGATGACGCAGGGAACGTCTTTGTTAATGCCCACATGTGGCCAGCTGAAGAGGGAGACTGCATCCAAGTCCGTCCACACGCCGGAGCAGTGTAAATGCAGCGTGAGACTCTTGTGTCTCCACCTGGTACGTGTGCTGGTTGTACCGTGTGGATGTTGTTTCCACTCTAATTGTAAGCGGCACATGATCAAGTGTCCAGCTTAGCTAGCAAAGGCGTATTATATCATAACAAACGCCGCACTGGAAAGTAAGTTAAGTGACCCTTATTAATCCCATAACGGCGAAACTTCACCTCTACATTTAACCCATCTGTGGGTTAAATGTAGAGGTGAAACACCACATACACACTAGTGAACACACACACTAGGGGGCAGTGAGCACACTCGCCTGAGAAGCAGTTGGGGGTTAGGTTTCTTGCTAAAGGGCACTTCAGTCACGTACGGTTGGCTTGGGGGATCAAACCAGCGACCTTCCGGTCACTGGGCTGGTTCCCCAACCTCTAGCCCACGACTTCCCCCATGGGCTGGAGCTAAGAAGTTTGAAGTGACATTTTATCTAAAACCCTATTTGAGTGCCGATAGCAGTTTCTTTGTCGTTGTTGCTATGTAAAACGTGGCGAGCTGGTGCAGGTAAATGAAGCGCACACTTTGTCTCTCTCCATGTGTGCAAACGTGATGTGATCTTCAAGAATTTGCACACAACAGTGATTAATTTGCATTTTTCTTTTATCGACTTTTCAAAAATGTGCTTGAAATTTGACTGGAAAACCCGTTTTTTCTCTCTGTCTTTCAGAGGGAGCGTAAGGAAGAGTCTAAACTGTGGGGTATTTGACGTTAAAGCACAGTCAGAACAGAGAGATGGATGTAAGTCTGGACTAAAGCTAGCGTGAAGAGCCTGAGAGCGAATCAGAGAGCGAGAGAATGTGAGCTGTGTCAGAGAGCGAGGGAATGTGTGGGTGAGAGAGCGAGCGTTGATGTGAGCGTGACTCTGTGTTTGTAAGGGAGAGGATGAGGACGGGCGTGTGTAAGCAGGAGCTCTGATGATGACTCACTCGTCTCATCTGGTTCGCGCGCTCGGTTTGTGTGTGTGTGTGCGTGCGTGCGTTTTCGGCAGTGAGCGGGCGGCAGCGAGCAGCGGGAGCGTCAGCATGTGAGGAGGTGACACTTCACTGCAGATACTCCAACACTCCTCCAAAATCACATCACGGTCCAAACCTGGCTGCACCGCGCTTTCAGCTCACGATGACAGAAAACAAAGAAATAAATAATGAATTTGAGAACAGAACTCAGAGGAAAGCCCAGCTTTTATTAGACAGAGGTGAACACGGGGTCAGAGCTGCCTGAACTAGTACCAGTTAGTCTGTCCTAAACGCCAGCACTACACAGAAAAACCTGCAAAGCAGAGGCTGCGTCTCAAATTGCTTCATGCTCCCTTTAAAGTGCACTACGCAGTTTATAAAGTACTGGCTTCCACTAGGGCTGACATAATACAGTCCAGCTGGAAAAAAAATGCACATTTAAATGTAGAAAGTCCATTCAAATGTTTGAAGCTGCGGCTCTTACACCAAGAATTTAGTTTCTAAGTTCTACACTCTCAAGAAGCACAATTGTGATTAATTAGGAAGTCATTTATACTCAGTAAAATTATATCAGAACAATTCATGTGTGACTAAATGCTTTAACCCCCTAAATGGCCAGGGTCCACCAGCAGGCCCAAAGTTACATTAAACACTTCTACAATCTAAGAATAGCTCAGCCAGTTTGCACTGAAGTCCCTGTAGTTACTGAATAATAAGCCTTAGTATGTAAAAAGCCTGGGCAACAGAATAAAGCCCATGTATTTCTATAGAAATATATAAGAATAGTGTTAATTGTTTGCACAGTCAAGACTATATGAAAGCCCAAACAGATCTGCTCTTCATTATAAGGGTTTGAAAAATGCTACTGAAAGTTGCTATTGTCAGCAAATATCCAGAAGGGGGGGCTCTCACATTCTTGGTAAATAAAGACAAGTTTTGTTTATTCTATTCGATGCTATATTTCGATAAAACCAACCCAGTTTACTCTTTAACACTTCCAACCCTCGGGGCAATTTGGTCGATTACAATGACAAACAATTACAAAGTATTTACATGTATGCCATACAGTGTTATTGCTCAGAATATTATTGACGTGTAAGTGCTAACAAAATTTTATCTGCTTCATAAATTTGGCCATTTTTTGATTAAAAATTTACTGTGCACCTCCTCAGAGGTAAAACAGGGAAATCATATCAGGACAGACTGGATTTTAGGACGTTTTTTGAACTGAATTACTCGCTGATACCTTTCTGAATGTCAGTGAAAGTTGTGAAAGTGCAGGTGAGAGCTAAGTACCAGGACATTCCGCAGTGAATGTCAGCACTATCACTGCTCCTTCAGTAAAACTGAGCAGGTACCACATAAAAACCAAAAACTCAGAAGTAAACGTTAGCACATTAGCCTGCCTGTTATATACTAACACTGTTTAGAATATTTTTTATATATTTTAGTATATTTTAGTTTATATGTTTTATTTATTCTTTTCAGCACCATATTTCAATAAAACCAACCCAGTTTACTCTTTTATACTTCCAACCCGTGGGCAAATTTGCATAACTGTTTTTGTATTTTGGTCAATTACAATAACAGTTACAATTAACAAGTATTTACATATATGCCATACACTGTTATTACTCAGGATGGGTCATTATTTGACATGTAAGTGCTAACAGAATATCTTCAGAAATTTGGCCATTTTTGATCAAAAATTTACTGTGCGCCTCTTTAGAGTTAAAACAGAGAAATCTTAGGACAGACTGGATTTTAGAACGTTTTTCGAACTGGATTACTCGCTGATACCTTTCTGAATGTCAGTGGAAGTTGTGAAAGTGCAAGTGAGAGTTAAGGACCAAGAAATTCTGTGATCAGTGCTGGCGCTATCGCTGCTCCTTCAGTAAAACTGAGTGGGTATCACTTTAAAACCAAATGCTCAGAAGCAAACGTTAGCTTGCCTGTTATATGCTAACGTCTACAGATCATTCAAGCTGGTGAGCAGGTGAGTTTGGCCGGGTGGGCCGCCCAGCTTGTTTTACAGTAGAAGAAACACTGTCAATTAGTCACTAATGACGTCTACCAAATGAGGGGGAGAGCGTGCCACTGCTGACCTTTTTGCAGCTCAGCTGTTCTGAACAAGGTGATATGATACATTCTCATGTGAGGTAACTAAACGTCCTGTTTTAGATCATTCTGCCCGCACTAGCTGCATGTTAATTGCGAGACGCATGTTGCATGTTAATTGCGAGATTTGAGAAATGACATACAAACCTGCCGTGATCAGTCGAGTCCCATCGGTTTCAGACAAATACATTAAGCTGTAGAGAGGTGTACTCTACAACACTAACAACAGGCACGCAGTTGATACTCACATTGTTTCCTCGTCAATGTCGTTCTCCTCCGTGTTGCTGGTTGCTGTGGAGCTGCCGGATGTGCTGCTGCCGTCCAGTGGGTTAACATCCTCATCTCCGGTCAGGCAGTCCACCTCCAGATCACCATCAGACAGCTCCTAATATTACACACACAAAAAAAAAAACATTCTGGAATTTTCTAGTGTCAACAATACCTCTAAACAATAATTTAGAGTCAGTTATTCATTCAGCCTAATGAGAAACTGTAGAACAGACTCAGTTTATATCACAATACCTACATTTAGAGTCGGTTATTCATTCAGCCTAATGAGAAACTGTAGAACAGACTCAGTTTATATCACAATACCTACATTTAGAGTCAGTTATTCATTCAACCTAATAAGAAACAGTGGAACTGACTCAGTTTATATCATAGTACCTACATTTAGAGCTAGCTAATCACGTACAGTGATGTGAGATGTGTGTGTACAGTGCGCTGAGGCAGAGAGCAGACCCTGTCTATAGCCCTCCTCTCCAGGGCTTTGCTGGAGACTGAAGGTTTTGTATTCTGAGCTTCTTTTTCGAAATTCACTCTCCATTTAAGCGCCTCAGTGTAACTGCAGCACCATTTAAGGTGGAACGGAATATTCAAATGAGAAGCTGGTGAATGAGAAGCTTCAGCTTTATATCTGTGAATAAGTTTATTATTTAAAAGCTTTGGCAGTTTTGGTAGCCACTTGATCTCCTTGTAGCATTTTCTGGAGACGCATCTAAGGAGTCCACATTTCTGTTCATGTGTTTGTGGTCATTCTGGTCTATTTTGTGGATTTTATCCTCCTGCAGGGCTGTATCTGCAGTAAAGGTGATGAGACGAGCTCCATCAGAGCACAGTCAGAGTTACAGCTCACCTACCAACATGGTGACGGGGTGTTCTTAATGATGTAAACAAATACAATGAATTCATAAATTAGGAGTGCCAACCTCAGATCTGCTCGTTTCAGTATAGTCACAGTAAAAAGGAGAGGAATCGGATCCTGGGTCAGCAGAGAGACTAAGAAGCTTTGTGAATATGGTCCTGGACGTCACCTCAGACATTTCTATACTGCTTCTCTGAGCTCTTACATTCGAGTCATCCTGCTGAGTCTTCTCCTCGTCCTCTTCTTCGTCTTCCTCTTTGGTCTCAGATGTGGTTGTCTGGTTCCCCTCTTCTGCCGTGGAGCTTTGCCAGGTCGCGAGTCACGGTTGGATGGTCCGGCGGAGGCAGTGGTGGAGGGACAGAGACGGCGGTCCGGTGGGGAGGAGCTCCGAGACTTCTGCCGGCGGAAAAGCTCTATAGCCAGTCTCTGAGAGAAACAAAAACAGAAGATACATGTAGCTACACATAGTTTAAGTCTAGTTCTGAGGATCATGTACAATGAGTCCATCAAGTTGTTTAGAGAAAGTGCAGCTCTATAATGCTCTAGGCTAGCTGACAACATAGCTTATGAAAAAATATCAATGTGGATTTTTATTACTGCCACTTAATTTAATCTATAATGTTCATATGATCCACACAGTCACTCTGACAGACTGTAATACACTACAGGAAGCGTAGGGGGCGATATGGCTTCTACTGTTTCATTTAAAAAGCCTCTATAATGTTCCTATGATCCACACAGTCACTCTGACAGACTGTAACACACTACAGGAAGTGTAGAGGGCGATATGGCTTCTGTTTCATTTGAAAAGCCCTTTCCAATGTTCATATGATCCACACAGTGATTTTAAAAATTTATTTTCCCTGCCCTAACACTCTTGACTGAGGTCATGAAGGGCCAAAGACAGTGGAAAGGAATTTTGAGCCACTGTTGGGTCTCAGATAAATCATCTTTACGGCAGTAGTAATAAGGGAATCGCTCCAGTTTTCTATGTGGTTTTCCTTCACTCACCTCTTTTAGGTTGTTAATCTGCTGAATGTAGCTGGACTGAGCCGCCTCCAGTTGGGTGATGTACCAGTACTGATCACGGCATTTCTGGAAGAAAGTGGGCGATCGCACCTGATATCTATAGAGCATCAAAACAGAACATTTGAGGATGCTGCATTAAAATAGAACAAACACGTAGCAAAGAATCAGAATCATTTTATTAGCCAAGTACACTTTTATAGTCAAGGAGAGTACTCAAACTAAGACAGACCATGATTAAAAATAATAGAATAAATGTATACTTATGTAAAATATAAACATGTGCAGTACATCACAGGTTCAGATGGAATAAACACAGTTTCAGCACCAGCCACACCAAGTATAAAATATGTGCATAACAGTAAATAGATAAAAAGAATATGTAAGGATTATCTGCAAAAATTAGTTTGTGGAAAGAAACATATCCTTATCATATTTACCATGTTTTTGTCATTTTTTGCTAAAATAAAATGGGGAAAAAATATTTTTGTAACTAACTAAATAATTAGTTATGCAATTATCCAATTACACTGAAGTAGTACAGCACAATGCAAACTGACCACAATAAAAGCATATAAGGAAAGATATATTCTCAGCGCTCCAGTAAAACCCGTAACATACCTCAGTATGAGCGTGTCCGTCTGCATGTTGAGGTAACCCTCGCTGGCCAGCAGGTCCAGCCTGAAGAAGCGGTTATACCCCCAGCACTCCCCCACCTCAAAGTCGGATGCAAACTCCCGGATGATGTTTTTGGAGGGGTCATTGGAGGCCTGATGCACCATCTCCACCCGATACTCATATCTGCAGCATGTCCATCAAAGTGAGAGGTCAGTGAAATTTTACTCGGTTTCTTGCCTCAAACATGCTTAATCAGCCAATACATGTGTGGTGTCTGAAGTTTGCTTCTTTAGTTTTAGCACTGGAGCTACGAGTATATGTATTTGTAAGTATACACCGATCAGGCATAACATTATGACCCACCTCCTTGTTTCTATGCTCATTGTCCATTTTATCAGCTCCACTTACTGTATAGGTGCACTTTGTAGTTCTACAGTTACAGACTGTAGTCCATCTGTTTCTCTGATACTTTGTTAGCCCCCTTTTACCCTGTTCTTCAGTGGTCAGGACCCCCCATGGACCCTCACAGAGCAGGTACTGTTTGGGTGGTGGATCATTCTCAGCACTGCAGTAACACTGACGTGGTGGTGGTGTGTTAGTGTGTGTGGTGCTGGTACGAGTGGATCAGACACAGCAGAGCTGCTGGAGTTTTTAAACACTCACTGTCCACTCACTGTCCACTCTATTAGACGCACCTGCGTTGTTGGTCCACCTTGTAGATGTAAAGTCAGAGACAACAGCTCATCTCTTGCTGTACAGTATGAGCTAATCCTCCTCTAGTCCTTCATCAGTGGTCACAGGACGCTGTTGGCTGGATATTTTTGGTTGGTGGACTATTCTCAGTCCAGCAGTGACACTGAGGTGTTTAAAAACTCCAGCAGCACTGCTGTGCTGTGATCCACTCAGACCAGCACAACACACACAACGCAGTGTTACTGCAGGGCTGAGAATGACCCCTCACCCAAATAGTACCTGCTCTGTGAGGGTCCATGGGGGTCCTGACCACTGAAGAACAGGGTAACAAAGTACGCAGAGAAACAGATGGACTACAGTCTGTAACTGTAGAACTACAAAGTGCACCTATATAGTAAGTGGAGCTGATAAAATGGACAATGAGTGTAGAAACAAGGAGGTGGTCAGAATGTTCGGTGTATGTAAGTTGGGGTTACTGGGAAACTGGGTAAACTTTATTTTTTTCACTGAGTTATTGGTTTTACTCTAATACTCATGAGGACAGGTGGCATTATAGCTGGGGCCGGTGAAAAAAGCTGCCTACTTGGATGTCTCGGGGAGTCCAGCTGACAGCTCCAGAAAAACGGAGAGATAATTTCCCCGAACGACACCGTTCCCGTCCTAAACACAATCAGAGAATGACAAACAGCAACGTTGCTAACACAAAAACAGCAAGATGATTCAAGTTAATTTGTATTGTATATTGTGCAGATATTGTTTAATTTATTTAAAAAAAATGCTCTATAATATGTGAATGTTCATATGATCCACACTGTCATTCTGACAGACTGTAATACACTACAGGAAGTGTAGGGGGCGATACGGTTTCATTTAAAAATGGTTGAAAGGTTAAGTGATTATAAAACAACAATTGCAGCCTCAGTTAGTTCCGTTCTGCTGGAAAGCTTTCTTCAAATTAAACCCACAGTAACTGTCGTTTCTATACTTTACTCACATAAAGCCACAGAGAAATATAAAGGTCTTACAGGGTAAACCTTCAGCCTCCAGCATAGCCCGGACACCTGGAGTGGAGGGCTATAGACAGGGTCTGCTCTCTGCCTCAGCGTACTGTACACACACAAACACACACATCTCAAATCACAGTACATGATTAACCAGCTCTAAATGTAGGTATAAACTGTGATATAAACTGAGTCTGTTCTACAGTTTCTCATTAGGCTGAATGAATAACTGACTCTAAATGTAGGTATTGTGATATAAACTGAGTCTGTTCTACAGTTTCTCATTAGGCTGAATGAATAACCGACTCTAAATGTAGGTATTGTGATATAAACTGAGTTTGTTCTACAGTTTCTCATTAGGCTGAATGAATAACCGACTCTAAATGTAGGTATTGTGATATAAACTGAGTCTGTTCTACAGTTTCTCATTAGGTTGAATGGGATTTTTACTACCTCACAGTGAAAGAGCACTTAATAGATTAATTAACTAGGAGGTTAAAGAAATGAGAGAATTTCTACCTGAAGTTTGCCAGGACAAAAGTGCTCGAGTCATACGCAGGAACAAGCTCACTGTGGAAAGGCAGAGAGAGCAATTAGTAAGTAAATGTCTTGTGGCTGTATTGCACAAACTTAAGCCAGACCTTCTAACCAATAACAGATGAGCTAAGGGTTATTCCTACCAAATAAGCCTCTCTTTGTGCTTAAATTATCCAGCTCAGTCCTGCTTTATGCTCTGACTAACCAGACTTAAGTGGTAATATATAAATTATAATAATAACCTTCTGTAATAATAACAGCAACGATAATAATAATCACCTGTCTTAGTTAGAATTAATGAAAGAGCACAGTGGAAAAATTATTTTTCATTTTACTTTAATTAGTTAGTTTACTTAATTACTTAGTTACACTGATTGGTCCATCATTGCATAGTACCTTTAAAGAATTACTGAACCCCTTATTTCTGTCTATCAAAAAAATGTGCTTAATTTTGAATGAAACAAGATTTGTTTCCAAATAATTTTGGAACCTTTCTACTGGTCCCTTCATCAATTTTTAAACACACTAAAAAGCAGCTGAAAAAAAATGTAAAAAACTGTTCTGACAGCGATGATACGCTGTGATGTGTAAAGTGTCTGGATCACCTGGTGAAGTCAGGTGGGACAGGTGTGGTGACGAAGGACTGCATGGGCTTCCTGTGAACCTGCTGGAACATCAGCAGGATCTCCGGGCTTTTAGAGATCAGCTCACTCTTACTGCACGAGCGCAGCTGAGAGACAAACATACATGAAAAAACACTTTAAAAACTCATACAAATAGAAAAGAGCACTGCAGCATGTACTGTAACGTGGTCTGCTGTTAAAACAGGTTAACATGGTAAACAATTAACAGAATACTTGATAGTTTGATCCTTTGAACCATCTGCAGTTCAGGCTGAAGCTCAGCTGCTGCTATGACTGCACCACTGCAGTCCTGTCACTCAAACACAGCACTGAAATAGTAAGAACTATTTGTGGTTCTCTTGATAAAACCAAGGACATCGAGTCTTAAGTAGCCCACAGGAGAACTATGGATAAGCAGCAATTAATCAATGTATCAATGAAAAGGATAATTGAAAATTAAACACTGTTGGGAAAAAAAACATTTTCACTATTAAAGTACTATAAAATGTAATGATCAATATCCACTTTTTGAAAAAATGCATGTCAATAAACCAATATTCATGCTGTATATTAGTGCGGTCCCTAATACCCCTAATCCCTAATGTTCCCTTGAGCAAGACACCTAACCCCCAGGTGCTCCCCGGCGCTGTGGATAGGGCTGCCCACCGCTTCGGGCTCCGTGCTCGCTGCCCCCTAGTGTGTGTGTTCACTAGTGTGTATGTGGTGTTTCACTGCACGGACGGGTTAAATGTGGAGGTGAAATTTCCCCATTGTGGGTCACTTAATCTTAATCTTAATCTAATACAATGTTTTTAGGCTCCAGAGCTTCGGCAGTAATCACCAGTGAATGGGGGGTGGGTGTGTGGTGGGGTTTGGGGAGTTTTGGGGGTCTGAGGAAAAAGTCGGTCAGAAAACCTGTGTCTGATTTTCGTGTTGAAAGCACATCCAAATCTCCAGACTAACTGCTTTCCTCGCAGAGTGCAGTGGTGCTCACAGCACAGCTAAGCTCCGTGTACCAGGCCCGCTAGCCTCTCTTAGCGGCACGTCCCGCCCAAAAAGGTTGTGGATATGAATGTTTATCCTCATCTAATGCTCTGAATTCATTTCACGGAGGCCATGCTAATCAGCTGATGAGCTAAGTCAGGTGTGTTTAACGAGGCAGTGAGCTGAAGTCTGCGGTGCTTTGGCCTGCGAGGACTGGAGCCTGACACGTGGGCTGAAGGGGTAACAGCACAGTGCATGCACGAGTTAACCAGCGCTTCACTAAGGTGGTCTAACTCGAAGTACGAAGGGCAACACTGCGGCCCTAGTGAGGGTACTGTTTTAGGTTAATTCGTACTTTTATGTTGAAGTGCCTGATTGTGGGGGGAGTGGTGGGTTTTCTGGAGCAGAGCAGAGGGCTGTGTTTTCAGCTGTTAGTGCTGGAGAGGCCGTTTCTTCCCGCCTAGTTTGGAGCTGTTTTCAGCAAATGAAAAATAAAGCTGTGTTATGGACTGGAACCTCGAGTCGTCTAAATTTCTCCCAGAACCCTAAAGGGTACAGGGTTTTGCAGTTTGAATTTATTGATAGCCTACATTTTCCAAAACACAAAATATCCAAACCCCAAAATTAAAAACCGAATACCTACCCAACAAACGAATATCTGAATAGTCGAATATTCAGGTCCAGCTCTACTGTATATACTGTATTTTAACACCGCTGTTCTACATTTACAGAAATAGAATGTAAATTCACAAAAACAAATGCCTTCTTTAATGAACAGATATTTGCATTTATTAACGGTTATTAAGGTAAAACACTATGTCAGGATAACTAGCTAAACCAGTGAAACTGTTGAAATAAAGTAAAAGTCAGTATTTCTACCATTTTTTGATGGATTTTTACCATCATTTGAGAAAACATATATTTACTGTTACCAAAGCGTTTCTTATAACGCCCCTGCTTACGTTTTTATATTTTTAACAGTTTATTTAATTTTTTTTTTTTTTACTGTGCCTGTTGACCTTCTTTTCATGTGAACTCTGCGTTCACACTATGAAAATAACGTTCCTAAAAGTAATAAATACATTCTGATAAAGCCTATTTTGTCGACTCATCGAGGCTTAACAAAATGCGCTGGAAAAAATTCCAAATTTGAGCAAATAACGTGATTAATTGTGATTTACTACACAAAATAATGTTGTTATTCGCAATTAATTATTTAAATCGTTTGACAGCCTCAGTGTTTACCACTCTAGATTTCACAGACAAAATGAATAGTTAATTTCTCTTCCAGTGAATCTCAAACCTTTCTCAAAATACTCAAAACAAACGTTTGGTTAATCAGACGAGTATCTTGAGTGTTTTTTCACCAGTTCTGTGAACTCCTCCCACCTGGTGCTCCACCTCCTGCAGCAGAGACTCCAGCAGCTCCGTCTCCTGAGTGAGAGAAGTCTTCTGGCCTGGTGAACACAGTGCTGTGAGTGAAAGGCCCACATCTTTACCAGTATAAAGCACACATGGGTAACTGGAAAGAGGTCAGAGGTACCCATGAGAGTGATGAGTTTGTTCTTGAGCTGATTATCCAGCCGAGCGATCATCATCTCTACGGCGTTCCTGATCTCCCGCACGCGCTCGTCCTTCGCTCCCCGCACCGCCTCCACGTTCTTCTCCTGATCAACATGAACACGAACACCACGATTCAGTTTAGCCACACATTACTGCACAGCGCGGCTGGATGACACAGGCAAAACACCAGCGCTTGGATTTATTGCTACATATTACATCTGCAATATGCCTATTAAATATACTGTAAACACACTGATGAATCAGTAATGTCAGATGGTTAAAGACCAAAATAACTGACTTGTGTTGGATTACATGAACATCTTTCTTCATCAAAACACCCTCAGAGATTCGTCTGGAGCTGTGATTGGTCAGGACACCCACAGCTCACAGTGAACACTGTGGTTGTGAAGCTAATTTGCATATCACAGTCTTCCGCTATATCACTACTGAAAAGACCAATAAATACTAACAAACAATACTGTCCAGTCTCACTACACAGATATACAAATCAACAGGCTCAAAGTAACAAGATAATATTAACAAAAAACACAATTCTGAGCACACTCTGCTACAGGCTGTGTTATTCAGAGAACTACAGTGCCCCCTGGTGGACATCACTTACAGTCCCTGCTTTTGGAAAAACTACATGACTCACGCTGATCTTCAAAAACAAAAAAACAGAGGATGGAAAAAGAAAGTCAAGAAGACTTAAGTGAAAAAGAGAAGAAGAAGAAGAGACAAAAATAATAGAAGAAAACGATAATGAAAAGAATAAAAGAGATATGAAGATATAAAAGAAAAGAGGAGATGAAAAAAGAAAAGAGAAGAAAAGGAGAAGAGACAAGAAAACAGGAAGAGAAGAGAAAGAAGAGGGGAGAAGAGCAGAGAAAAGAGACGAGAAGATAAAAGAGAAGAAGAGAGTAGAAGAGAAGAGAAAAGAAGAGAGGAGAACAAAAGAGAGAAGAAAAGAAAAAAGAAGAGAGTAGAAGAGAGTAGAAGAGAAGAGAAAAGAAATGAGAAGATAAAAGAGAAGAAGAGAGTAGAAGATAAAAGAGAAGAAGAGAGTAGAAGAGAAGAGAAAAGAGACGAGAAGATAAAAGAGAAGAAGAGAGTAGAAGAGAAGAGAAAAGAAGAGAGGAGAACAAAAGAGAGAAGATAAAAGAAAAAAGAGAGTAGAAGAGAAGAGAGAAGAGAAGAGAAGAGAAAAGAAGAGAAGAGAGAAGAGTAGAAGAAGAGAAGAAAAGAGAAAAGAAAAGAAGTGAGTAGAAGAGAAGAGAAAAGAAGAGAAGAGAAGAGAAGAGAAAAGAAGAGAAGAGAAGAGAAGAGAAGAGAAGAGAAGTATTTATTAGCTACATTAGCTTTGAAGCTCCTGTGTTAAAATCACAGACACATCACCGCTGATAAGAGAAATTCTGATTTTTTGCTGACCGTTTTAAAGTCACTGTCACTGTGTGTTCACCCACCACTTCCTGTACGAGGCTGATGAGCTCCATGAGCCGGCGGCGGAGTTTGGCCACCTCCTCGTTGACCTTCGTCACGTGCTGCTCGTAGATTTCGGCCAGTGGCTTAAACGTGTGGCCACCATGCTGAAGAAAACATGGACACTGAGGACTAACAGCACAAACTCAACATACAGTGCCAGTTAACTCACTACTGTAGAACAATTTAACTAGAACAACCACATACACTGAATACCTGACTCTACATGTAGGTATTGTGACATAAACTGAGTCTGTTCTACAGTTTCTCATTAGGCTGAATGAATAACCGACTCTAAATGTAGGTATTGTGATATAAACTGAGTCTGTTCTACAGTTTCTCATTAGGCTGAATGAATAACTGACTCTAAATGTAGGTATTGTGACATAAACTGAGTCTGTTCTACAGTTTCTCATTAGGCTGAATGAATAACTGACTCTAAATGTAGGTATTGTGATATAAACAGCCTGAAACAGTGATTAAGTCGTACCATTCCTCCCCAGAGAGCACACTGGTGACAGATGCACTTCTTACAGGTCCAGCAGAACACACTCAGCTTCTCATGATGGTTTTCACATCTGTAAGGAAACCAGATGCTGGTGGAACACATGGGAACACACTTACTGGTCTGCAGTGCAGTGAAACTTTCTACAGAGTCAGAAATCCTTTTATCTCTATAGTCAGCACACTTTTAAAGACTTTAAAGGCTTGCTTTTCACCACATCATGACGACTTGACCATTTTTAACTGGTGAAAATGGTCCATACAAATCCATCCAGGTCTTCCAGGTGGTTTTTAGGAGTCTCATTTTCTCTGTAGCTTATAATAATTTTTTGAACTCCAGTTTTGGAAGCTCATGTTTTTTCCACTTATTTTTACTTTGACTTTCTCCTTCCATATGCAAGTGGATGATCTTGTATCTGATCATCGCAGAAATATAAAGATCTCACACACCTACAGACAGTAAACTGTGAATTCATGCAATATATTCAATACTCCATGTGCAATACATGTAAAATATCCTTATAGTGTGAAGATTTTGTACTCTTTTATTTATAATATCTATATTGTTAATTTTGTGAAGAACAGATGTATATATATATATATACGTATACATGTATATAAAATACTAATACCATATATAATGTCTATACCAGGGGTCGCAACCCAAATGTTAAGAAGAGCCATTTTGTCCTTTCAGCAAAAATCTAATCACCTTGGGAGCCACAACATTTAATGTCCATTTTACCATCTTGGCTGTAAATATGTCTCAGTATGTGCTGATGTTCTGGTACAGGCTAAAAAAAAAATCATATAAATGAAAATGCAGACTTACTTTGCTCTGCTTTAAGTTTTAGCTTTTCTCACATCTCTGGCAGGAAACTTTTCCTCAAAACTAGAACAGCTTCTTGCAAAATGTTTCTCAACGTTCAACTTTTTACGAGGCTGAAGTCAGTTTCTCATTCACCAGCTTCTTGTTCAAATTTTCCCGTTCCACCTTAAATGGTGCCTGATGCACCAGAATGTAACTGCTGCACCATTCAAGGTGGAACGGGACAATTTGAACGAGAAGCTGGCGACTGAGAAACTGACTTCAGCTACGTGACTTTTTAGTGTTTGTCAGTTTCCTGTTGCAGATTAAACGTATCAGGAAACCAGGTGGAGTGATTATAAAGGCAAATGAGTCCATTCATCTTCAAATTATTGATGTTCATCTTAAATCTCTCTCTTTTGCTACTAGCTAGATGAGATTGTTGTCTATGTTGCTATGGTGACCAGCAGTCTGCGCTGATCTTCAGGGTTAAAGGGTGAATTAGCAGTTCTACATTAACTCCAGAGTTTAAGACCATTTATTGTTAAACTGTGTTGAACGATCAGCAGAGCTTTATTTTACTGTAAAGGAGGATTATTTTATTTTTACCTACAAATCTGATTCAGCTGTGGAGCCTCAACAGGACAGTAAAAGAGCTGCATGTGGCTCCGGAGCCACATGTTGCCGACCCCTGGTCTAAGTGACAAACTGTAACCTTGTTAAGTAATTAATAAGGTTAATATCTTGTTTGTTTATTCTCTTCTTGTTACTCTTTTCTTGAGTGCCTTTCTGTCCCTTTGATGTGTAGCACTGTGAATTTCCCCAGTTGTGGGACTAATAAAGGATTATCTTATCTTATATCTCCTAAAAAAATCAATAACTTGTACTTAATGGCTGTTTTGACTAGAAATTAAATAGATTTTTCTGACTGTGTCTTTCTGAGATTCATATAAATTTACAGTCAGAAGATCACAGCACTGATCTGTCCTCAGTATGAAGTTCATGGTCAGGGTAGAGTCAGGCTCACTTGTCTTTGTCGTTCTCTTCGTGTTTGGAGAGGTTACACAGCTGCAGAGTGTCCAGCTGTTGGGTCACTTCTTCTGCCCAGCGACAATTTACCAGCTCCCGGAGCTGCAGTGGAGCTCTGAGCGCGCACACACACACAAACAAACACATTATATATATACACACACACACACACACACACACATATACATACTGAGCCTGTAGAGCTCTCATTACGGTATTAATGTAACATATAGCGTTCTTCACTTTAGTGTTCCGAATTGTTGCTGATTTAATAAAAAACAAATTATTTCCCAGTTTTTTCTTATTCAACTCCCAAAACAACAACAAAAAACAAAGTCTGAACTGTAGATTTGGAGAATCGATACACCCCGAAAATACTCACACATGCATTTTCACATATATTTATAAACATCTTTTTATGAAGATCTTTTAAATGTGATTGCTTTAATGTAACTGATCAATCCCCTAAAACAACATCTCTACATGAACACATACAAACAAACAAAAGGAAAATCAATCAACAGACTCATTTCAGTGCCAGCTTCAGAGAGGAGGAGTGCATCAGTGGGGCTACAGGAGGAGAACTTACCGGCAGTGTGGACACTGAGCTCTCTGCTCCGTCAGCCAGCGCTGCAAACCCACACACAGAAGAACATCATCACTGAATTGTTTTTGGATAATTGTTTTTGTTTATGATTTGGCCACAGAGTGGCACTGAATTGTTTCTGGATAATTGTGCGTTTTTAGAATTTGGCCACACGGTGGCGCTGAATCATTTCTGAATGATTGTTTTTGTTTATAATTTGGCCACACAATCGCGCTGAATACTTTGGGGTTGATTGTTTGTTTTTAGAATTTGGCCACACGGTGGCGCTCAGTAGTTCCAGGCTTCTCTTTACAATTCGCTGTGCTGGATGTCAGAAAACCGACAGCGTGTTCAGCAGTGGTTTGACTTTTTGACTTTTTGAATTTTTTTCATTGCTCAAAGGACACGGTCAGCTTAAAGGAGGGGGCTTTGGTGGGGGAGGGATTAGCACCAAATACATTTATTCATCAAAACGCCCACAGAAACTCATCTGGAACTATAATTGGTCGAGATGCTCAAAGCAGAACTGCCATATCAGTAAAAGAAGATATGCTGCGCAGCCCTTATGTGTGTGTGTGGGTGTAAATGTACGAACCCGAATGCAGCTGAAACAGCAGAGTTTGGAGCAGTGAGGACACAGCCGAGCGTCTCGCAGCTTTTCCATGCAGATGAAGCAGCGGAACACCTCCGCTATACTCTACACCGGAGAGAGAACACAGAGCCATTCAGCACAAACACCTACACCAGCTACGCTTCCATCCAACAGACTTTTCACAAAAAACTGTTAACTGTTTACCCCTACCCCTTGTTTTCGAGTGTTGCCCCTTGGAACTGAGTTACAGGGTAGGGGTTGAAATCTTCCCTCTGAAATGGGACCCTCAAATAAAAAGAGCATCACTTCATTAACAGCTACTAGCGCTGCTCTGTAGGCGACCCTGCCAGTCTGCAGTGACAGCAGAGGAGGGTAAAGTTCAGCTCCTCACTGCTGGGCTTTAGTTACATTTAGGGTATCATATGATCTTCAAAGAGGGGGGCAATTATTTATTATCACCCACCCCTAATTCTTCAGTGATATGAAGCTGAAGTCAGATATTCACCAGCTTCTTGTTCCAGTTTTCCGTTTCACCTTAAATGGAGCAGCAGTTCTGATGCTTGAAGTGCCAGAATGTAACTGCTGCACCATTTAAGGTGGAACGGGAAATTTAGCTACTGACTCATCAGCACTACTAGTGATTTTTTTCCTTGTTATGTAGAAAAGGACCATAATACACTGAAACAGCATTAAACTAAGATAATATGATGGTTATTGTAATTTTTTAACAAAGAAAATTCTCACATTTGTGTGTTTCTTTGGTCTCTTATTCAGCCATATTGCTGTTTTTTTTCTTTTTTTTTCTCATAACTCTCTGTTTGGAGTCTCTGAAAAACCTCCGTTTGGAGGGTCATGTAGCCCTAACACTTCACCCTACCCCTAGACGTGAATGCGCAACATGGAGGGGTAGGGCTGAGTGGTAGGGGCGAGGGGTAAAATGGGACTGGGCCTAAATTTGGGTCTAACTGCTCAGCGTCGCAGTGACAGTGTGCCACTGCTGACCATGACCCACATCTGCAAGCAAATTACAACAGAAATCAACATAAAACACTCAACCTACCTCGACACTCTGCTCATCCATGTCAGCCAGTTTTATCTGTGTTGAGATGAACGGTGGTCCTGAATGATCTCGCCCAAGAGCTGATTTCATGGAGGAGAAAGAGAGACGAAAAGCTGCATGTTCAGATTAAATTAGGCTCAAATAGCATTGCTGAAAAAAAATCAGGCTGGGTTTGAGCTGGTTAATCTTCAACAGTATGCAAACCTGAAAAAGCTGATATTCACCAGTACCGCTATGAGCATTTGTAGTTTTAATGCAGATGCTCATATTTTTATAGTTATAATAAGCCTGAAAAATAAAAAACAGTGACCCATTCTCAATCAACAGAGAATGACTGTGTCCAAAAACTGGAATATAACACATTTACACTGTTAAAAAAGACGGTTCTTCAGTTAAAGGAATGGTTCTGTTTACAATCAAGAGTTCAGCATAGAATTATATCATGCTTAAATGGTCCTTTGCATGATGATGCATGATTGGTTCTTCAGACCGATGAAGAATGTTTCATGTATGGTCCTACATAGCACTAAAAAGGGTTCTTCTGTTGACATCGGAACAGTAGCACAGTCCTTTTTGGTGCTATACAGAACCACATACAACACTCTCCATCAATCTGAAGAACCATTTCAACATGCGAAGAACCATTTAAGCATGAAATGGTTCTGTATAAACTCACAGAACCGTTACCCTTACTAAAGAACCCTTAAAGAACTATTAAGTGTTTTGATACAGGTGCTCATAGTTTTTAAAGTTACAATGAGCCTGAAAGGTAGAAGACAGTGAATCATTCTCGATCAATATAGAATATCTTTGTCCAAAAATTGAAATATAGCACATCTATGGTGTTTATACTGTTTACATCGTTTACAAAAATCAGCCAAAATCAGCTCAAGGCCTTCAGTTCAGTTTTGGAGGTAATGTTTGACGTTGTTTTGCGTGATTTACAGCCTTAATAAAGGTTAAACTACAACCCAGAGTGTTACAGATGACCAAAAATAAGCAGCAGTACGAAAAAGAGGTCATTTTTAATCATTTCACATGATAAATAACACGATTTCGAAGCAGCTAGAGCTAACTCAACACAGACATTTCAGTATTTCTACGAGAATAATCGCGAATCTCGGTTAAAGAAAGCTGGTCAGAGTTAAATTCGAGTTAAAATAGATTTTAATTAGTGTGGCTGAAGTTTAATAAACACGGCATCTACCGTTAGCTTAGCATAGCGTCTCATTCGCCAGCTTCTTATTGGAACTTCCCGTTCCACCTTAAATGGTGCTGCAGTTACGTTCTGGCACCGGAGGCTCCTGACTACGACCGCTGCGCCATTTAAGGTGGAACGGAAAATTTCAATAAGAAGCCAAGCCAACTTGCTGGCCAGCTAAGCTGGCTACAATAGCGATTGAACAAATAAAAGAGGGCACAGTTGAGCTTTACCTCGCCGTGTAGCTCTCTATCTGCAGTATATCCCGCCTCAAACACCACATATACATTAAATCTCAGACTAGAGGCGCTAAAACTACCCCAGTCTGTCCGCCGTTAGCGCTGCGTTAGCTTAGCATCCACACTGCGCTGGGCAGTGTCCGTCACCATGGGAAACCGCTCCGACCAATCACAGAGGGCGCTCTGATTCACGCCGACCAATCACAAGCAGGCTTAAGAGCGATGGGGCGGGGTTTGACCACACGCCTCGCCCACCTCTCAAAAATAGCTGCATCCGTGCAGCATTGCAACACCGCTGCAGGGCTGTGGCAGATAACCTAATCAATACTGATGATTACAGTGTCAGAAAAGTGGAATATTCACATTTAATAGTGAATATTGTGTCCGAAAGGGGAATATTCCCATATAATAGTCATTTTTTTGTGTCAAAAAGTGGATTAATCCTAACAAATAGTGAATATTGTGCTCAAAAAGTGGAATAGACCCATTTAATAGTGTCAAAAAAGTGGAATATTTCCAATCAGTACTCATTATTGTGTCCAAAAAAGTGAAATATCCCTAATAAATAGTTATTTTTTGTGTCAAAAAAATGGAATAATTCTAAAAAATAGTGAACATTGTGTTCAGAAAGTGGAATGTGCCCATTTAATAGTAATATTGTGTCCAAAAACTGGAATATTCCCTATCAGTGGTCATTAATGTGTCCAAAAAGTGGAATACTGTCATTATTTTGTGATAAAAGTGAAATCCTTTCATTTAATAGTGAATATTTGTGTCCAAAAACATAAAATATTCTCATTTAATAGTGAATACATTGTCCAAAAATTGAAATATGTCCAATCAATAATCATTAACATGTCCAACAAGTGTAGTATGTCCAGTAAATTGTCATTATTTTGTTAAAAAGTTGGAATACTCCCATTTAATTCTAAATAGTTTGTCCAAAAATTGAAATATAGTTCACCAGTGGTGACCATTTTGTCCAAAACAACAAGAATTTGGCTAATCAGCTGTGATAACTGTGTCCGAATTAGTGGAATATGTCTCTAGTAGCAGCCTGGACCGATAATAAATGAGCACTGTAGACTAAGTTAGTAATTAATGTGCAATAAAGTGATTTATCACTATTGTGATAAAGTGAAATTGAGCATATAGAACAATTATAATATTTCAAAAACAATTCCCAGCAAACAGAAGAAGGAAAAGTAAGAGAGGGAGAGATAACAGATTTTTTGGCAGATTGCTCTGGTCTCCTGAGAGAAAGTGACCCATATTCTAAACTGAGAGTGCCTGGAGATGGTGTAGGTGCTTCAGCCGGAGTTTGGAGGAACACGGGGACTTTTAAATGGGCCATTTTGGAAAATCCCAAATGGGCTGCACAATTTAAAGAGTTCCATTCAGGTTATTCCCGATGAGACGAAATATTCCCGATTAAGGAGAGAGGTATTTGACTGAGGGAAGGAACAGAGTGCGGCCTGCTTATCTGTGCATATTTACACTCGCATGAAAATACATTTAAAAATGGAAAAACAACCTCACTGCCTCAGAATACTACTCAGATAATTATACAGCATGTTATGGCAGAGCATTATGACCATTAAATGCTGGTGAAGGATACAGTACATTCAGCAAAGAACGGCAAATAATATTAATAATCATGATCATTGAAAGAGGCAACACATGTATAAGAGCTGTTCCACAAGTCAGCCACTAGGTGTCAGTATTGCTCAATGTTGATGGATATTACTGTCTGTTTCAGTTGATCGCTGATATTCTTTTGTATTTATTTGTAATTGAAGTTCAAAAAAACAAAACAAAACATTTGCATATGCAAATGAGATAATATAATGGAATGTGTACATTTGCATAATGAAAAAAAAGCCCATGGACGATGTTAGATGATTAAAATGTTTCTTTTATTGGGGAGACAAAAAACCTTTTTCAAGACAAAGTCTTTAAAAGGCTTTAATTCTCATTATTTTATTGTTTAATCAATAAGCTGTGGCTAAAATAGGTGTTTGAGGTTTTTTTGTAGAGAAAAAAATAACATCAGCACTAAATAGATAATATCTTTGAAAACAGAGCTGGAAATAAACACAAAATGTAATGAATTCTTCAGGAATACTAGAAAGTGAGAGTTGTGGCTGTGAATATAGGATGCTTTAAATACCTGGGGCTGATAAGCTCACCTGGAACATCAGCACAGCCTCCTTTTTGAGGTGGCTGAAGAGCGCAGGCCTTCGCACCTCAGTCCTCCTGTCCTCCCATAGGTGTGTGGTGGAGAGCGTCCTCATTTCCTGCCTCACCGTGTGAGGCACTGTTTTCATACAATCCTTGTTAAATGACATTTTTTCCCATAGAAATGAATGGGGTGCAAAAGTGGCCCGCCCATCTACCGCACGTCTGCTCGACCAAAACACACCGCTGTGCATATACTATCTCAAGCCAGACCCCCGGCAGGAGTCCCGTGTTGTTCTGACCTGCACTCATCTGTTTGTCTTTTTTATTTCATCCCTCTTTCCTCCCATAGACTCCCATTCATTCTTGCCCTCACCCAAGCCCTATTATTTGTTTGCCCAACAGCCACCAAACTGCATGTTCTCACTCAGGCCCGGTCCTCAAACTCCACCGCACAGGCATACCGACCCGCACTCCTCTATGTGTCGTTTTTACATCCCTCGTTCTTTCCACAGACTCCCATTCATTTTCAACAACAACTAGCAACCATTTGGTAGCCCTGTAACAACCACTCAGTAAACACCATGTACAACGTGGCAACATCCTAGCAACACCGTAACAATCAACACTTACACCACAGCAACTGCCTATCAGCATCTTAGCAGCCACTTGGTATACCATAGCAACCGCCTGGGACAGCATTGCAAATATCTAGAAAACCATAGCAACCACACTGTAGCAACCACCTGGAATACCTCAGCAACCACCCAGCAACATCTTAGCAACCACTGGGGATATCCTGGCAACCACCTAGCAACACCCTAGCAACCAGCTAGCAAATCCTTAGCAACCCCCTCTAGGATACCATAGCAACACCTTAGCAACCACCTGGGATACCATAGTAACCACCTGGGATACCATACAAACCACCTAGCAACACTTTAGCAACCACCTGGGATACGCTAGCAACCATCAATGACACCATAGCAACCCCCTAGCAACACTTTACCAACCACCTGAGTTACCGTCGCAACCCCCTAGCAACACCTTACCAAACCATAGCAACTGTCTAGCAACACCTTAGCAACTATCTGGGATATCATAGCAACTGCCTAGCAACATTGTAGCGAGCTTAAGCTGCGCAATCACTGCATTTTCTTCAGGAAATACCATTTTCTGGGTACTACTGCTGCTATTGCGACCCACTGGGTCACAGTCTTATTCCCATCGTCACGCTCTGCTCACTTTACACCTACGCTTACATTTATTTAACCACTTCATTTTAATTGGGTTTCTTCTTGATCTTATTGTTGCTGTTACCTGAACTGAGACCTCATTTCGTCCCCTTTCACATGAATGTTCTGCAGCGACAACAAACGAATCTGAATCTGAAGAAGCTGTTCTGGAGAAAAACGCTGCTGAGACTCGACTTCAGAGCTGCTTTACTCAGTGAGATGCAACACTGTGGGAATGCTGAAAAGAAACACACACGTGCTAAAATCCTCGAGTTCTTTAGGAATCAGTCACACTCAGACACATTAGAGCCCACAGGTGTGCAGGTTTTATTGAGTGTTGATTACAGAGACGTTCACAGACAGCACAACAGCTCCACTCCAGTCAGAGGGTTTTACTCTATAAATAAAGCAGAACGTTCTGCTCGGAAATGATCAAATATGTAAGATTTCACCTCAAAACTACATGATTATAGTGTCTGTGTACCCGGTCACTGAGAGACTGTTAGAAAAACGCAAAACTAAAACACAACACAGCCTCTTTAAAGGGCCCGTATCAGAGAAAAGACAGTCTGACGTAGCGTGTGAACTGTGACAGTTTCAAATCACGCCATTAACTCCAGTATATACGGCCCAAATACGGATAATTCAGCTTTAAAAACAGCCAATTTTGAATTCACGGCGTTTGTGATGTCACAAGTATCAACACATATACACAGACTCAGCAGTTTCAGCTCTGCATATCGATGTTGTTGGAAGAAAATCTCGTATCTCCTTTTTTTTTCGCATTTTTCAGTTTTTGTCATAATTTGAAAATGTTGCTCTTTACATTGTGTGTAAATTTCATGATGAATGGACCAAAAGAAACGACCCAAAATGACCTGGAAAAAATTCTGGTTCCATTGACTTACATTAAAAGTAAAGTATGTTTTTTGCTTCTCCTGTAAAGTTACCATTTTGGAGATACGAGGTTTTGTTCCGACAGCAGCGACATTCATGCTGAAGTGAAACACAGTGTTTCAGCCCAGACTAAGGGCAGCCAATCAGAACAGAGCTCATTTACATATATCCGTCTTAAAGGTACAGTAACAAAAAACAGTCCAATTCTAAAGAAAAGAGAGAATTAGGAGAACGATCATGTAAAAATGAATTATACTTGTTTTTGGTACATAAAACAAGACAAATATAATAAGCTGATTTCGGGGGGGTGTGGAATCTAATGCAATGGGCCCTTTAAAGCTCCGGACAGGCTTACTTTTCAAATGGCAAAACAAGAAGAAAACTGATATGAAATTAAAGCGTACGCTCAGCACATCAGGGCTGCTTTAATTGTTATTGCAATATTGGTCTTTGTAATATTGATTTCATTGAAAGGTGCAATATGCAAATGAGCCTCTGAACAATCAATTAGTTCAGATAATGCGATTTCACAAGCAGGAGTAAAAAAGTCCATTAGTTTCTTTTTTCTCATTTTTCTCTATTAATGTTTTATTTATTTATTTTTTTTATATGATTTTAGTTTTTCTGTTTTGTTTAAATATACTGTACTGAAGTACTGAAATATAAATAAAACCATTATCATTATTGTTATTATTATTGCTAACAGGAACGAAATGAAAACACTTTCTGATTTATCAAAGGGCTCATTTGCATATGCAGCTTTCTATGATATTGCCAATATTACAATACCGATTAAAATACAATATATTCGACACTACTCGACACTACACAGCACCCGTCCACATGAGGCTACTGTGGTCAGATTAGCAGTTTCTGGCTGGAGCATTAAAGCTGGCCATATCATAGAATTTACCCTTTTTAAAAAATGTTGTATGTAAAACATTTCAGAACCCACACAGTCCATATAAGGAAACACTAAGCAGCAAAACGAGCCAGTTCTGAAAGTACTGCTTTTGTGATGTCATTAAAACTAATTTTCATATATGTATATCCACCTATTCAGCGTACAGCATCTTAGCCCCACCCCTTTCTACTGAAGTTATAGGGAGTGTTTCGGGGTGCTTTTTCAATGAAGCCCAGCCAGTCAGAACAGAGCTCATTTGCATACATTAGTCTACATAGGTACAGTCACAAAAACAGCCTATTTAACAGTAAGGGATAAAGAGAGATTGGAAAATGGTCAAAAACAGACTTCAGGGGAAAAAATAAAATATAAGAAAAATAGCAGGATATGGGCCCTTTAAAGTGTGGATTAAAGAAACTCAAAGCTAGAAGATTAAAAGCACTTAAAAGAGTTTTACTGAGAGATTTCATTTGTCACTTGGTTTAAAGGAGAGTGTTTATATTCCATATTTATCTGCATCCTCTAGTTACTGTAACAGCTAACCAGAATAGACAGTGTACAACCTGTAACTAGTGTTTGCTCATGTTTACACCAAACCACAGTACAGTACACTAATATTACAGAGAACAAGAATTCATATTTTCTAAAAAAGGTACCACACTTACACCTGAAGCAATGCAATATCAATTAATCAATATTTTACATTTCATTTCAAGCATTTATAAAGGACACAAAATCCCTTAACAGTAGTCTAAGGCGAGCTTTTCCTCAGAATATCATTTCACAGCAGCAGTGCGAGTGTAATTGAGTGAGAACACATATGTTTAAAGGGGAACTCCACCGATTTTTTCAAAATTTCTGCATAAGTAAATGGTTGAGATGCCATTCAGAGTGGTTTGGTGTGAAACGCTCCGTTCTAGGGAAACTTAGAGTCAGAACTGTTCACAGTGGTGGTGATAGGAACCAGACGTCCACCTCTAAAAGCTCCTCACAGAAAGTTCCTACATGAAATGGTTATGAATTCACTGCCTGATGACTGAGACACTGTTTTATGATCGTTTAGAGAACTTAATCTCCATTCATGGTGGAGGGATACATGCAGGGCGCTGTGAGGCAAAACAGTCCCCAAAGAAAACTTATTATTTCAGATTTTCCACTATTTTCCATCATCAACATTCCATATAAAGCTCAGAAGACTCGTGTAGGTTCACTGGTGGTTCTGGATAGTAAATAAAATGTCTATATCTGTGTTGTAGTCATGGCGACCCCTGGTTCCTATCACCACCACTGTAAAGACATCTGAACCATTTCACACCAAACCACTCTGAATCTCTCTGATTACATCACACACACAATTACAGGTTTTGAAAAATTGGTGGAATTCCCCTTTAAGATTGAAGCTAATTTACAAGTTCATTCATCATTATTTTTATCTACACTGAAAAAGCGGCGCTGAATTTACCTGATTTAAACGTGTCTATAATTTCCTCATTAATAAAATGTATTACATCAATACGATTACTGCCAAAGGTACGACTGTGTTGATGTAATATATTTTTAAAATACTGAATTAACCCATTAACGTCCATAAAAGTTCCTTTGGTCTGTGTTCTCTGAGCACAAAATTCATTAAGCTGCTCAAACCATATAGCTAAAAAACTAAAACTATAGCTTTTATCCCTCATTTATTACATTAATTGATCAGTAAACATCTATTCCTCACTTTTTCTATCCTATGAATACTTACTGAACGATAAGCCTCACACTGTGTTTACACTGATCCAGCACAGCGACGGACGTGAAGGTGGACTGCATGTGGGCGTTAACTGCTGAATCCAGTTAAAATGAAGTCTTACTAAATCAATATTTAAATAATTATGCTTTGATTTTTTGAATAATCAGAAACCCAAGCAAAGCTAGGCTGTGGTCCAGGTGGGCTGCGTTTCTAGACCCCTACGACATCTAAAGCTGTTCCAATCAGAAGAATTCTTGGAAATGCAGCCCAAGTTTAAGAGAATTGGCAGCGGATGAACCCAACTGCTACATGGTGTTTGGAAAAGCTAGTAGAACACACAGTAATATATCATCACAATTTTTTTCTGTTTTTATTTTTCTGCATTATTTGAGCCCAGCAGCTGATCCTTACATCTATATACATCCTTTACATATATATATATCCTTCTACCTCAGACTCAGACTTATACATTTTTGTATTTAAGGGGGCTACGTACCTAAGATTTTCACAACATTGTCACAACATTGAAATCTAATTCCTCAGAAAGCTGTGACAACGTTATCGTAGTCATGTAAATTCACTATTCTGGAGGTTTTTCTGGAGGTGTTTTGGAGATATTTTTGGTCAGCGATGATAAACAGTACCATTTCTTTAGTTTAGGGCAGGGGTCGGCAACACCTGGCTCTGGAGCCATTTTAGGTAAAAATAAAATAATCCTCCTTTACAGTAAAATAAAGCTCTGCTGATCGTTCAACACAGTTTAACAATAAATGGTCTTAAACTCTGGAGTTAATGTAGAACTGCTAATTCACTGAAATAGCAAAGAGAGCGATTTAAGATGAGCATCGATAATTTGGAGATTTCATAATCACTCCAGCTGGTTTCCTCATACGATTAATCTGCAGTGAGAAACTGTCAAACACTAAAAAGTCGTGAAGCTGAAGTCGCTTCTCTTTCGCCAGCTTCATGTTCGAATTTTCATGTTCCACCTTAAATGGTGCAGCAGTTAGCTACACAGATAGCTACGTTCTGGAGCCTCAGGCACCACTTAAGGTGGAACGGAAAAATTCAAACAAAAAGCTGGAGAATGAGAAACGACTTCAGCCGCGTAAAAAAGCAAACACTGAGAGACATTTTAAAAGAAACGGTTCTACTTTTGAGGAAAAGTTTCCTGCCAGAGATGTGAGAAAAGCGGCAGCTCAGCTAAATAGCCTATTCTAGTACATCAGCACATACTGAGACACATTTACAGCCAAGATGGTAAAATGGATATGAAATGTTGTGGCTCCCAAGGAGGTTTGACTTTTTGAAAGGACAAAATGGCTCTTCTTAACTTTTGGGTTGCGACTTCTGGGTTAGGATGTAAACTGAACGCAGTGTGTGAAACACACAGCTTTCAGTGAGTTTAACAGCTTTCTAATTAAACGTAAGACAGCATTTAATTACAAATTAGTCTGAATGTACTGCATCAATCACATCAACGGTATTTTCTCTAAATTTTGTGTGACGACTCCCTTATGATGACGGGCTGAAGCCTCAGTAGACCACTATGTTTTGCATTATGTAATGCAAACGAGGGTCCTTCGCAAGACAGTCCATCTTTCTCACTGCAGCCCAGCGGTTGGAACGCAGCTACTAATCACCCAAACATCTCCCGCTTTCTGATTGGGTAGACGCTCTGCATTGTCCAGATTAATTTGCATAAAGCTCAGCTATGCTATACTCCTAAATTCAATGTGCCGGTTCCATCATGTATCACACAGCCATGCGACGGACATGATGCTTCCCACAGAAAATGAATGTGGTGACCTGCCATGCTGGACCAATGTAAATGCAGTGTTATGATATTATAAGCCTGAGAACTTAATGAGCTAATTAAGTCTTTTGGTCACTATTGTTTTTGTTACAAAACAACAGAACATTAAAATTCGATTCTGAATAAAACTATGAAAATTACATATTATAATTGAAAATATTCAATTGTGTACCGTTAGAGGTTCATTTAATCTAAAACTATACAAAGTTTTATCACTTTAAACCCATCTGAACAAGTTCTGGGCCATTTTTCCTTCACCACAATAAGTTAAGCTGGTGAACATCAATGGTTTAATGTGGAAATGATGCACAATTAAGTAAATTCGGCGCATTTTTCTTCTGTGTACCTGCTCGAAAACCTAACCAGGATAGTCTGAAATATCATAAACTAATGCTTAACACTAGTTACATTAGTGCTGGGGTGTATAGTTTAAGTCCAGGTGAAAACCTCTAGTTTTGCAGCTTCTCTGCAGGCCTGCAGCTGCAGCTTGCTTGCGACTGCAGTGCTACTCAGTTTCATCACCAAAATGTAGCCAAGCGATTGCCGAAAACAAAGTGCAAGAGCTTAGAGGAACGATAAACAAACAAAAGTCCTCTAAATCCAACTATGGGCTGCAAATCAAAGCACCAAAACCAACTGCGATCAACGTCCATGACTCAAAATCCTCAGAAATCAGAACAGTGAGTCACGTCAGCGATAACAGCAGGCGCCAATCCGTCCTCAAAGCACCTCACGCTAGCCAGCGAACACCTGAGGCTGGAGCGGAGGTGGAAGCCTGTCACTTTCTACGTTTTCGGCATCTATGGCTGAGGCACGTGATTTGATCTCCAGTGGGAATTTCTCCAGGATGTCCTGGACTTCCCGAGCCACACTGTCCTGCCAGTCATTCAGCTCAGCCTGCATGGTGAGAGCTTCGTCCAGAACCTGCTGCTGACGCTTCTCCAGACATGTCAGCAGGTCCAGAGTGCGGTGGATCTGGCTGATGACGGGGTTGACGATGGGGGCGGATTGCGTCCAGGAGCCCGGATCCTCCTGTCTCCGTGGAGACACCTGGCCGGACATGTAGCGCTCGAAATCCTCCGGGCTCAGGTTCAGAGACTGAGCGTCCAGCTTCTCAATAAACGCCACAGCACAGCACTGCAGAGGGACAGACACAGAATCAGCACTGAACAGGTGGATACTGGACTGATTTTACATTATAATACACCGATCAGCCATAACATACCTTGTTTCTACGCTCACTGTCCATTTTAGCAGCTCCACTTACTATATAGGTGCACTTTGTAGTTCTACAGTTACAGACTGTAGTCCATCTGTTTCTCTGATACTTTGTTAGCCCCCTTTTACCCTGTTCTTCAGTGGTCAGGACCCCCATGGACCCTCACAGAGCAGGTACTATTTGGGTGGTGGATCATTCTCAGCACTGCAGTAACACTGACGTGGTGGTGGTGTGTTAGTGTGTGTTGCGCTGGTCTGAGTGGATCAGACACAGCAGAGCTGCTGGAGTTTTTAAACCCCTCAGTGTCGCTGCTGGACTGAGAATAGTCCACCAACCAAAAATATCCAGCCAACAGCATCCTGTGGGCAGCATCCTGTGACCACTGATGAAGGACTAGTGGATGACCAACACAAACTGTGCAGCAGCAGATGAGCTATCATCTCTGACTTTACATCTACAAGGTGGACCAACGAGGTAGGAGCGCCTGATAGAGTGGACAGTGAGAATAAGCTCAGTGTCCAGTCTTATCTGCGGTGCGACTGCACGTTTTTCATAGTTTTTTTTTGTTTGTTATTTATCTACTTATTACTTTTTATTTTGTGCAACCTGAATGGACAATACAATGTATTCTATTCTATTCATTCCAACAAAGCAGGAGCTCACATGATCAACTGGCCAATTGATTAAACAGGTGAGCTCCTGTATGTTTGGAATGAAAACCTGCGGCCACGCTGGCCCTCGGCAGACTAGACTGGACACCACAGGAGTACAGAATTTGTTCAGGATAATAAAGCTGCCGTCTCACCAGGTTGGTGAAGTAATAGCCGTCCTCGCCGGTCATGAGGCGGCTGGGGTTGCAGAAGCGGGTGATGTACTGGATGTTGGACTGCAGTCGGGGGGGGTTGGCCTTCAGAACGATGTAGATGAGCGTGGGCAGGAAATCGTCGGCCGAGGCCGGCTCCTTCTTAGTCACTTTAATAGCGTTGAAGATGTGTTTGCTGCAGCTGGTGATGCAGGCTAGCTTATCTCTGGGCACACGTTTAGAGTCCATCTCAATAATATCTGTGAGGAGGAAAACAATAAGATCAAATCTCAAGCCTTAGAAGTCACCCTGAAAAAAGGGAGTTATGAATATAATTTTTTTCTGTTTTTGACTCCAACCTTTTGTAAAATTGAATTTAAATGTATTCAGTATGTAACTGCGTAATAAATTAAGAAATGATGCGATTACATTTAAGTAATTTAGCAAAATGACATCTCTACATGTTTTAAGCCCGGCCCTGGACTGAACACAGAGAATCTGCGTTCAGAATGCTGTGAAGTCCAGGACTAGACTTGATCCCTAACCCAGAAGGATTAAAGAACAGACTGGTTTACCTGTAATAGCCTTCACTACACTGTCAGCCACTTCTGGGATTTCTTCATCCATAGGAACGCACAGCATCTGAATGGTCACCCAGTGTAGCGCCCTGCAACACCAGCACCGTCACCAGCACCGTTCACAACCCAACACCAATCAGAGCAACTAACACTGAGACATCTGCCACCTGCGACCAGTTATTTTAACATAGTTTCTGACTTTATTTCCACTATATTTTTCACTATTTTACCATATTTTCTGACTTTATTTCCACTATATTTTTACTTTTTTACCATATTTTCTGAGTTTATTACTGTATTTTCTGACTTTTTCACTATATTTTTTGACTTTTTAAACATACCTGTTTTTAAAACCTTTTTGCTATATTTTCTGAGATTTTTCACAATATTTTCAGACTTCTTCTTAATTTTTTTACTACATTTTAGCACATTTTCAGATTTTATTTTTCTTTTTTCAGTATATTTTACCAGACTCTTGTTCACAATACTTTCAGACTTTTTCTTACCCCATTTTTCTTTTTTTACCTTTTTTACAATATTTTCTGTTTCTTTTATTGCATTGTGTGATTTTCTCTTACTATATATATATATATATATATATATATATATATATATATTCTCCCCAATTTAGTCGTAGCCAATTCCACCCCGCTAGTTAGGACTCCCCCAGTCACACGATGCTATCAACGCTAGGAGGGTGAAGGCTAACACAGGCTTCCTCCGAGACCTGTGAAGCCAACCACCGCTTCTTTTCGAGCTGCTGCTCACGCAACGTCACTGGACAGCCGAACGCGCTCGGAGGAAAGCGCCAACCGCCAGATCTGTTACGTCAGCTAACAGACGCCTGCGCTGACTAGCATCGCGCTGAGTGATGGGGGGAGAAGGGCAGCCATCCCACCCACCCAGAGAGAGCGAGGCCAATTGTGCTCTCTCGGACTCCCGGCTACGGATGGCTGTAGCATCACCAGGGATCGAACTCGCGATCTCCTGATGATAAATGTTCTGATTTATTTACTATATTTTCACTTTATCATTAGTTTTAGATGATGATGACACAGACCTGTCCATATTATTTAGAGACTGCAGTTGGCAGACTGGACATAAAGGTCCGAGTAAAGCTCCTCACCGGATCCTGTGCTGTGTGGCCAGGTCCTTTTTCTCATCGTCCGTTGTCTCGGGACAGAACACGCTCTTATAGAGGCGGGTCATGATGTACTTCTCCACCTGATCCATCACTCGCTCCACCTTTTCAGAAGAACCTGCAGAGGCCGTAGAGAAGGAGTTACAGAGAGTTTAATGTGATTTTGTAGGCTGTAATTCTGGTCATCAGTCACCGGCAAGAAGCACAGAAACTATAAAGACATTTCGTCTAATTTACATACACCGATCAGGCATAACATTCTGACCACCTCCTTGCTTTCTACGCTCATTGTCCATTTTATCAGCTCCACTGACCAAATAGGAGCACTTTGTAGTTCTACAGTTACAGACTGTAGTCCATCTGTTTCTCTGATACTTTGTTAGCCCCCTTTTACCCTGTTCTTCAGTGGTCAGGACCCCCATGGACCCTCACAGAGTAGGTACTATTTGGGTGGTGGATCATTCTCAGCACTGCAGTAACACTGACATGGTGATGGTGTGTTAGTGTGTGTTGTGCTGGTGCGAGTGGATCAGACAGGAGTTTTAAACACTGTGTCCACTCACTGTCCACTCTGTTAGACACTCCTACCTTGTCAGTCCACCTTGTAGATGTAAAGTCAGAGACGATAGCTCATCTGCTGCTGCACAGTTTGTGTTGGTCATCCTCTAGCCCTTCATCAGTGGTCACAGGACACTGCCCACAGGACGCTGTCGGCTGGATATTTTTGGTTGGTGGACTATTCTCAGTCCAGCAGCGACATTGAGGTGTTTAAAAACTCCAGCAGCACTGCTGTGTCTGATCCACTCAGACCAGCGCAACACACACTCACACACCACCACCACGTCAGTGTTACTGCAGTGCTGAAAATGATCCACCACCCAAATAGTACCTGCTCTGTAAGGGGCCATGGGGGTGCTGACCACTGAAGAACAGGGTAAAAGGGGGCTAACAAAGTATCAGAGAAACAGATGGACTACAGTCTGTAACTGTAGAACTACAAAGTGCACCTATATAGTAAGTGGAGCTGATAAAATGGACAATGAGCGTAGAAACAAGGAGGTGGTCATAATGTTATGCCTGATCGGTGTATTTGCATACAGGTGTGTAATTTCTTTGTCCAAGTCTGTGATTGATTCATACACCAACACTCGGTCATCTCTCGCTGCTGTTTCTAAAATGAATTTTTAGGCTGCTTATTTCTTTCTTATGTCTTTTTGTCTTAGTGAAGCTTCTCTATCATAGTCCTGCACTGTTTATACAGGAACACTAACAATATTCAGATTATTGCTGCATTGCTTCTGTCAACCTCTTACTATTTCTCTTTATTAACTACAATTTCTCTTTCACGATTTTCTTTGTAAGCTCTTGCAATGCTGTAAATAAGCCCTTATTGATTTCTGTTGTTATTCTTGATAAATTAAAGGTATTTGTGATTAAAGTTTCAATATTTTAAAATTTTCTCCATTTCAAAACCAACATGTGGTCATCATTTTTTGTTCTAGTTCTACTATTTTTTGACACCATCATCATCCAGTTTTCGACAGTGCTGTAGTAAAACCAGCTTACATAACTAAGTCAGCGCTGGATTTATTTCCAGGATTACAGAACTGTTTTAATACGCTTAAGACTAACATGACCATTTCTAATGACCTCTACTACATACTGACCTCGCCAACTCACTGTCTGACCATTAAAAGAAATACTCAGCCTAATCTCTGTTTGCTACGGCGCTGGGCAAAAGTCAAAAACCATTTGTTTATTTAACTTTCAGTCAAAACGGCCATTTGAAAGAGCCCATCATGGAAAAACAAACCTTCCTCACTATTTTAAACAGAAGAGTCTGATGTAAAGCTCCCGTCAGCTGAGAGTTTAAGATGGAGTTTAAATAATGGAATTTCCTTTGATAAATAAAAAAAAATGTTTAATGTGAACATTACTTCAAAACCTACTCAGCCCATACCGTCCATATACGGAAATTAAACAGCAAGAACAGCTTCAATGTTCACTGTTTTGTGATCACAAAAACTAAGACATCTACATATATCCACCTACAGCAGTTTAGCCCCGCCCATTCAGCCTACAGCACTTTAGCCCCGCCCACTCAGCCTACAGCAGTTTAGCCCCACCCATTAAGCTACAGCAGTTTATACCCACCCATTCATACTGACATTATAAGCAGTGTTACAGCCTGGACTGCTTTTTGGCAGCCAATCAAAACAGAGCTCATTTGCATACATCAGTTTTAAAGGTGCAGTAACAAAAACAGGATAAAGAGAGGTTGGGAAATGGCCATGCAAAAAATAATTACGACTAATGAAGTGGAAAAAATAAAATACAAGATAAACGTAGGATACAGGCCCTTTAAGCTCAATGCGTTTATACACATAAGACAAATTCTAAGGCTTTTTTTGCCTGGACTGCATTTTAAATGAAGCACAATGCAAGGCAGCCAATCAGAACAGAGCTCATTTACATATACCAGCCTTAAAGGCACAGGAACAAAAACAGCCTGTTTAATTCTAAAGGATGACGATGCAAAAATAAACTGGCACATAAAACCTCACCAACATTATAAGAGGACCTCAGGAGAAAAATATAAGGAAAACGTGGGATACGGGATACAGGATACGGGATACGGGATACAGGATACGGGATACAGGTGCTTTAGAAACGGTTACAGTTTAATTGACTATGTGCTGAGTAATTAAAGGATCTTACCTTTGAAGTGAGTCATGAGGCGGTCAGACATGTTCTGGTAGAAATCCTGCACACACTCTGAGAGCTCATCAGCACCGAGGTCCTAAAACATCAGAGACACTTTCAATACTGAGCTGGAACCGATCACATCAATAACAGACAATAAACAGCAGGAACGGTGTTTGAAGAGCTGAATAAATATTGGACAGAAAAACGAGCGTTGGTGTGTTTATGACGTAACTTCTTGTACGCATTTGTCCTTCAAGTCTTTCACAAGTTTGTTGTGAGATAATCTTGGTGACGGCGCCAAGAAAACATGTTTGCACAACAGCGGCTCTGGGACTGAAATCATTCACGCCGAGGAAAAAAGCCAGAGTGAACCAGCAGCTGTAATCTGATCTTACTGCACATTGGCACTCGCTCTGAACAGGCCTGGGCTCCAATCAGTCGCAGCATAGATGTGTTAGTTGACTAATTACATTCATTTATTTGCACAATTGTTTTTTAGGTCGAGTTGTAAAACCACGTCCGAGGAGACAGTGGCCTTTACGAATACACTTTATGGACAAAAGTATTGGGACACCCACACATCACACACACTGGAGCTTTTATGACTCCCATTCTAAATCCATAGGCATTAATATGGAGTTGGTCCCCCTCTGCAGCTCTAACAGCTTCCACTCTTCTGGGAAGCTTCTACAAGATGTTGGAGAGTCTGTGGGAATTTCTGCTCATTCATCCAGAAGAGCATTAGTGAGGTCAGACACTGATGTTGGATGAAAGGGTCTGGCTCACAATCTCCATTCTAGCTCATCCTAAAGGTGGTTGGTATAGTGTGGTGGGTAACACCTCTGCCTTCTATGCTGTAGACTGGGGTTCAGTCCCCGTCTGGGTAAGCACTCTACACTATACCGACAAGAGTCCTTGGGCAAGACTCCTAACACTCCTAATGCTCTGGATAAGAGCGTCTGCCAAATGCAGAAATGTAAATGTGTTGGATGGGGTTGAGGTCAGGGCTCTGAGAGGGTCAGTCAAGTTCTTCCACACCAAACTCACCCAGCCATGACTTTTTGTGCACTGGGGCTCAGTCATGCTGGAACAGGAAAGGTTCTTCACCAAACTGTTCCCACAAAGTTGGAAGTGTGGAAGCATTAAGATTCCCCTTCACTGGAACTGAGGGTTCTAGACCAACCCTTGAAAAACAGCCCCATATCATCATCCCTCCTCCACCAAACTCTACAGCTGGCACAGTGCAGTCAGGCAGGTAACGTTCTCCTGGCATTCGGCAAACCCAGACTCGTCCATCAGACTGACAGGTAGAGAAGTGTGACTGGTCACTCCACAGAATACGTTTCCACTGCTCCAGAGTCCAGTGGCGGCATTTTACACCACTCCATCTGACGCTGGCATTGTGCTTGGTGATGTAAGGCCTGCATGCAGCTGCTCAGCCATGGAAACCCTGCCATGGAGCTCCCGATGCAGTTTCTGTGCTGATGTTGATCCAGAGGAGGTTTGAACTCTGCAGTTATTGATCAGCAGAGCGTTGATCTCTTTTATGCTCTATGCTCCTCAGAACTCAGCGACCCGCTCTGTAACTTTACGTGGTCTGACACTTTGTGGCTGAGTTACTGTGGTTCCCAATTTTTACTAATACACTCAAAGCTGATCGTGGAAAATCTAGGAGGGAAGAAATTTCACAAACTGACTTGTTTCAACGATGTCTTCCTATTACAGCACCACGCTCGGATTCAGTGAGCTATTTACAGACATTCTTTCACTAATGTGTGTAAAGGCAGGCTGCATGGCTAGCTGCTTGACTTTATACACCTGTGGCAATGAGACTGAATTAAACACCTGAATTCAGTGATTATAAGGTGTGTCCCAACACTGCTGTCTATACAGTGTATGTCGTCTCAAACTGAATAGCCTGTTTTTGGCAAGTCTTTATCAATTGTCTTATGCGTATTTGAAGATACAGGCAAAATGTTTCAACCTCAAATTCTGAATCAAACCATTTTGTCTCTTTTATAAATAAGAACCGAAAACTGAAAAAACCCCAGCAGCACTGCTGTGTCTGATCCACTCAGACCAGCTCAACACACACTAACACACCACCACCACGTCAGTGTTACTGCAGTACTGAGAATGATCCACCAACCAAATAGTACCTGCTCTGTGAGGGTCCATGGGAGTCCTGACCACTGAAGAACAGGGTAAAAGGGGGCTAACAAAGTATCAGAGAAACAGATGGACTACAGTCTGTAATTGCAGAACTACAAAGTGCACCTATATAGTAAGTGGAGCTGATAAAATGGACAATGAGTGTAGAAACAAGGAGGTGGTCAGAATGTTATGGCTGATCGTTGTATCTGTGTTTCCATGTGTGGATGGTTTCAGCCTGCAGTGTTAATGTTGGGGCTGTTGAATAACTGAAATACGGCCAGTTTATCAGCAGCTAGCTTGGTTTTTTGTTGACATGCCCCCCCAACTCGGAAACTCATTGAAGAATCCGAATTTCCCACTAGTAAATACAACATTATGGTGCCATTCATGTGCCTCCATCTCATAAACACGATACTTCTGACACGACTTGAAGGCAGCAATATATTCTGTGATTTCTGGCAAGATGCTCAGCTCTCTGCCGTCAGATTCCTCACCTTTTTGTTAGCCATGCTCTCGATGAAGGCTCGGCTCTGTTTGTGGATTTCTCGTCCGGGTTTCTGCAGGTTCTTCAGGAAGTCCACGAAGTCTCTGGACACGCGGTCGGTCTCCAGGCTCGGCTGCCGTGTGAAGGAGGGACTGTGCGACTTTCCTTCATGGCTCTCTGCATGAAAGCGTACACATACACAAGCAGAGAGAGCAACAAATTAAAACCACTCATCTTCTGCAGGGTGCATTTTCATAATATAGTCCTTTAGAGAGTCGGCCTCCTTCAAAAAACACTCAAATCCGCCCTGTTTCCCTCTTTACCCCAAAAGCAGTCGATCAACAAAGAGATATCTGGTGTCTGAAATTTGCTTCTTTAGTTTTAGCACTGACGGACATTATTCAGACTGATACGGTTTTCAGCTATGCTATCGTACATCTGCCCAATAGTTCTTCAAAAAAAGAACCTTTAGAATCTTCTCTAATGTAAAGGTCATTTCTCAAATACTTCACGTGCACTGACCACATTTGAATGTTCAATACATTGATTTAACCCAGACTGACTCTGAGGATTCAGTCATTGCAGCAGGCAGATAGAGGAGGAATGCGGCTTCACGCTAATCCTTTAAAAAGAAGGAATTTCTGATTAAATATTGATCTGTGGCAAATACCAGAATCTACGAAACGCCCAGTTGTTACTTAACAGGGTCAATCCATGTTAAACAACCGCTAATACATTTGTTTGAAGCAGCTAAGCAAACAGATTAGCGAGAGTTACCCGTGTGCTAATCACACTAAACATCTGGCCCAAAATCAAAGTGTCAACCTGGCTAAACAGAAATTCACCCCTATAATCCTATATACTATTCACAAGGAAAGAACATTTCACCATGTATTCCTGCAGAACATGAGCTCAGCTAACATCTACAGTGTCCATCAATAGTTTGGGGACGGCTTGCTTTTCAAAATGTTTTAATGGACGAGCATTTATTCTTTGTTGGTTTCCAAAAACCCACCACACAGCATAGAGAGCTGTTTAGATCTTTCCATTTTCACCTGGAAATAAAGCAAAAAACTGAACAAAAGTGCCAAAAGAACTCAAACCTTTCAGGTGTTTAAACCACCTTGTTGACGATAAATAATGATTATCATATAGCTGCTCTACGATCACTCAAGCTTTGCAGGTGAACAAAAACCAAGTATTTCTCTGAACGTTGCCCTCAAACTTTTGATGGGATGTTACACATATTGACCCACCTCTGAGCCTGGAAACCAGAGCTGCCCATCAGAAAGAAAATGAGGGACAGCATGATGACAAAACAGCAAAATTAAATGAGTGGAGCAGCATAAAACATATTTTACACACACACACACACACACAAGCACTGAAAACGGACAGATGCAAAAACACACACAGCCGAGAAAGAAAACATGCCGATGGTCAGCAGCAAAAAGAAACCAAGCATGACTGAACGATAAATTGAACTTGAATGACCTTTTATGGTCAGAAGTACTATACAGAGAAAGAGTACTATACTGACGTACTACATGGATGTGCAGTACTATACTGAGGTACTAGATGGATGTGCAGTACTATACTGAGGTACTACATGGAGCTACAGTACTACACTGAGGTACTATATAGAGGTACTGTCTAATGCTGAGCTACTACATGTAGGTACAGTACTACTGAGGTACTATATGGAGGACCAGTACTACACTGTGCTACTATCTGGAGCTAATATGTTACATAGTACTCTATGGAGGTAAAGTACTATACTGAGGTACTGTAGGATGGTACAGTACTATACTGAGCTACTATATGGAGGTACAGTACTATACTGAGTTACTATATGGAGGTAAAGTACTATATTGTACTATATGGAGGTACAGTACTATATTAAGATACTATATGCAGGAAAAGTACTATACTGAGCTACTTTATATAGGTAAGGTGCTATCCTCAGCTACTATATGAAGATGCAGTACTATATTAAGGTACTATATGGAGGTGCAGTACTACACTGAGGTACGGTATGGAGGTTAAGTACTATACTGAGCTAATAAATGAAGGTACAGCACTATATTGATGTACTATATGGAGATGCAGTGCTATACTGAGCTACTATATGGAGGTAAAGTACTATATTGTGCTACATGGAGGTACAGTACTATATTAAGGTACTATATGCAGGAAAAGTACTATACTGAGCTACTATATGAAGTTGCAGTACTATATTGTACTGTATGCAAGTGCTGTACTATACTGAGGTATTGTATGATGGTGCAGTACTATATTGAGCTACTATGTGGAGGTAAAGTATTATACTGAGCTACTATATGAAGGTACAGTACTATATTAAGGTACTATATGGAGGTCCAGTATTACACTGAGGTACAGTATGAAGGTGTAGTACTACATTGAGGTAGTTAAGGGATAATGAGAAACAGTTTGGAGGAGCAGTACTACACTGAGGAACTATATGGAGGTACAGTTCTATATTGAGGTACTATATGGAGGTAAAGTACTATACTAAGCTATTATATGAAAGTACAGTACTACATTGTAGTATATGAAGCTACAGTACTAGACTGAGGTACTTTATGGAGTTAGTACATAGAGGTACCGTATACAGAGATAATGTATATACAGATACTATATGTGGGTACTCATGTATATGATATACACGTACTATATGAAAGCATTATACAGAAGTAACAATATATGGAGCCTTATACACATACCACACAGGAACACAGAGGAGATTCGACAGGAGGTTTTGTTTCTGAACTCAAAGCCTTCACACAGATAAAAGCACTCAAGCGGCACATTAAGAACTGAAAAGGAAGATCACTGCAATCTCTACATTTACATCTACCTTCAGTAGGAGAGCCCATCTCCCAGTTTGGGGTAAAAATGCCCCTCAGGTCCCTCAGCAGCGTCTCCCCGTGGCTCTCTCTCCTGCCCTGAAACTTCTCCCCTCTCTCTCTCTCCTCATCCCTCTCTCTCTCACACGACACTGAGGGGGCAGCAGGATGGAGTATGGGGCAAATTATATGGAGTGGAAGATAGACAAGGTGGAGGGAGAGAGAGAGAGAGAGAGAGAGAGAGAGAGAGAGAGAGAGAGAGAGAGAAAGACAAAGGGGAAAAAGAAGCAGATAGAGAGAAAGAGTAGCGCATGCAAGTGGATTGTGATGAAACGGATTAAAAAAAGGAGGAAATGAGAAACTAAAATGCGGAGGGAATCAATGATCATTCGCTTTAATCATCAAAATGAAAGGGAGATAAATTATGATCGAAACCAAATGGCGGGTGAATGTAGTAACGAACTGAATTCGCTAATTTAGGCTCAACGTTATTTGAGGTTGTCTTTTAATAAAGAACGGCCTTCACCGACAGCACAGATCAAAGAAAGAAAAATGAAGCAATGAAGTGTTGAAATGAGGAACTGATGACACCGAAGACGTAAATAGCGCGAGTTCTGAGAATAAATCGGGGACACGGTTGACTAGTCTGACCAGAAATGCGGTGTGGAGTGTTCAGATTTAGAACGAAGAAACAAACAAACTGTCACAACTACCCAAACAAAAGTGAAAGTCAGCCCCAAAATAACTGATAAGAGCTGATAGCAGGTACAGATGAAAGGCTTTTAAGAAGCCATCACATTCCTTTAGGATCAGGCAGCAAAGCTGGAACAAACAACACCTAAACTGGGTTCTAGAGCATCTACAAAAAGAACAAACTGAGAAAATCTGTAGTGTTTTACTTCTATTCATGTTACGCCCGCAAATGTGTTCTCTGCAGTTGTGAAGTTGGACAAGCTTGGCACAGTTTTTCATTAGGTTGAACGAATAACTGACTCTAAATGTAGGTATTGTGATATAACCCGAGTCTGTTCTACAGTTTCTCATTAGGTTGAACGAATAACTGACTCTAAATGTAGGTATTGTGATATAAACTGAGTCTGTTCTACAGTTTCTCATTAGGCTGAATGAATAACTGACTCTAAATGTAGGTATTGTGATATAAACCGAGTCTGTTCTACAGTTTCTCATTAGGCTGAATGAATAACTTCCCTGTGTGCCGAATGTCGTACCTTTCTTAGGTGCGGTGCGAGAGGACGGGCTGAAGAACTTTTTCACTGTGGTCACTTTACGAGTCTTCTCGTTGGTTTTCTTCTCCTCAAACTTGGAGAAAGGTGTGAGACTGGGCTGAGACTGAGACGGCTGAGCCGGAGACTGTGACTGGGAGCCGTGGCTGCTGGCATAGGCCGCTTCCTCCTCTCTCTGCAACCTACAACACAAGTGAAATTACCACAAACATACAGACTAATCATTAATAGACTGAATCAGTGTGACATACAGTTATCTATAAATTTAGGCTTCAGTACAGCTGCAGCTGTTTGCAGCTACGCTAATGTACTTTAGTCCATGTTTATAGATAACAGTGAGTCAGAAACCACATAACCACGTCTTTTAGTGATAACATGCAGACGGCAAGCAGAGGAAGAGTATCAGGACTTTCAGTGCTGCCCAACTGAGGACGTTTTCACACCTGAAAGTCCGAACCAAGGTACATGTTTGTGTTAAATTGTTTACATTTGATCCGTTTTGGTTCGGTTATCTTATTTAGTCAGTTCATTCATTTTTGTTTCATATTGCACTTTAGCAAGCGCACTACATAGCGCACCTATGACACACCTACACCGATCAGCCATAACATTATGACCACCTCCTTGTTTCTACACTCACTGTCCATTTTATCAGCTCCACTTACTATATAGGTGCACTTTGTAGTTCTACAGTTACAGACTGTAGTCCATCTGTTTCTCTGATACTTTGTTAGCCCCCTTTTACCCTGTTCTTCAGTGGTCAGGACCCCCATGGACCCTCACAGAGCAGGTACTATTTGGGTGGTGGATCATTCTCAGTACTGCAGTAACACTGACGTGGTGGTGGTGTGTTAGTGTGTGTTGTGCTGGTATGAGTGGATCAGACACAGCAGTGCTGCTGGAGTTTTAAACACTGTGTCCACTCACTGTCCACTCTATTAGACACTCCTACCTCGTCAGTCCACCTTGTAGATGTAAAGTCAGAGATGATAGCTCATCTGCTGCTGCACAGTTTGTGTTGGTCATCCTCTTGTCCTTCATCAGTGATCACAGGACGCTGCCCACAGGACGCTGTTGGCTGGATATTTTTGGTTGGTGGACTATTCTCAGTCCAGCAGTGACACTGAGGTGTTTAAAAACTCCAGCAGCACTGCTGTGTCTGATCCACTCAGACCAGCGCAACACACACTAACACACCACCACCACGTCAGTGTTACTGCAGTACTGAGAATGATCCACCACCCAAATAGTACCTGCTCTGTGAGGGTCCATGGGGGTCCTGACCACTGAAGAACAGGGTAAAAGGGGGCTAACAAAGTATCAGAGAAACAGATGGACTACAGTCTGTAACTGTAGAACTACAAAGTGCACCTATATAGTAAGTGGAGCTGATAAAATGGACAATGGCATAGAAACAAGGAGGCGGTCAGAATGTTATGCATGATCGTTGTATATCCTGTCATCACTCCATATGTGGACTGCATCTCCCTAGGCTTCACAATGACTGGGAGCTTTTTCCATTTGAATGGAGAAAAATGAATATCCTCCCTCTCTCTCTCTCTCTCTGATCCTCTCAGAGAACATGGGATAAGTTCCTGCATTTTTGTGGTGTAGCACGCCTTGTGGGCTCATGGAAGACGCTGGAGGCAGGGTTCAGAGTTGCAGCAGCCAGTACTTTAATTTTCACTCTAAACAAAAACACAAAAAAACAACAAAAATCTAGCTAAGCAAGACTTTTCAGTCCTTTATCACTGGAGCTTTTCAGCTCTTCACTCTTGTCGTTGTTGCTGCTGCTGCTTGTCTCTCTCCTTGCTCCCTCTCCGCTTATTTTAAAAGGCGCTAATGCTGCCAGCCAGATCAGCATCAGCCGAGAGGGAAAGAGAGCTCGTTGCTCCGCCTCCTCATTACCACCCCCGCTCTGCAGCTCGTCCGCCCGGATCAAACGTAAGGCAAGTTAAAGTGGCCTCACTGCAGGACCAGAGGCGGCACCCAGGAGGTGGGGCTTGGGGCTCACACACCGTCCCACACTCACTCACTGTTCTCTCCCCGCATTCCCACCGGCTCTCGCGGCCGTCATCGGGGCCCAGGGAACGGGCGCATGCCACATATGGGTTTTGACCTTTTCACTGTACCAAATTACAGTCAAATATTTGGTCTCCTCCCCGTGAGCTACCTCGCATCAACTTCCTGTGATCGGTCCGAATGTCCGAACCATCCAAAAGTGTAATCACACAGCAGATGAACCGAACCAGGGTTTAGTTTGATCCGGACCACCTTTTTTGTTCGGACCAAATTTTGGTCCTTTGGTCTGGCCCTGTGATGGACTGGCAACCTGTCTAGGGTGTTTCCTGCCTCCCGCCCAATGACCACTGGGATAGGCTCCAGCTCCACCCACAACCCAGAAGGATAAGCAGCTTAGAAAATGTGTGTGTTTGGTCTGGACCGTGGTCCGAGGCACCTTTCACACCTGCTATTTTGTTTCGGACCAACCTGAACAGTCCAAAGCTCTGGACCAAACAAAGCACCCTGAGATTTGTTTCCACCAACGAAGGTTCCAAGAGATCTTTGTTGTGTTCAATTATACATTAAACAATAATTCTAACTGCTTTTGAATGTATAATGAAAAATCCATCATGCATACTTAGATGGGGTCTATTTGTGAGGAAGGTGTTGATGGACGCTACTGTCCCACACATCAACATGAAGTGGAAACGAAGGAGCCCCTCATTGTGGGTGAAAACTTTGGAAATGTGGCAGATGATGAGTTAGCAAGCTAACAACCTGACACATACATTATATGGCCAAAAGAATGTGGACGACACTCTCCATAAAACGCCACCTCCAGTCTACTGTTTACATGTATGGCTTATAGTGTAAGTGTTCAGTGTACAGTTGAGACGCAGCAGTTTCCATACTGCGCCGTTCTGAGTGACCCATCAGTCTCACTCACTTCTCGGCCAGCGCCCAGTCCTCCTGGATTTGTTTCTGCCGCGCCCGCTGGTACTCCTCCCTCCAGCACTTAGAGCACAGTCCCTGCCAGGCGGCGTTTCCATAATAACCGCAGCCTTTCTTACACAGCAGCTCCGACTGGTCGACGTGGATCCCCCGGCGCTCGGACCGTTGACTCATTCTGGCCACTTACCTGTGCTGAGCAAACAAACGCGTTCACCTTTCCACAGAGGCTGGAGACTCTGTTTAAAGAACAAACACAAAGGACACAGTCAGCTCAATGCCCATGCGCCAAACACAAGACAGGCCTGTGACGCACAGCGTGTCCCAATTCAGGGGCTGGATCCTTCGAAGGCTGCTTAGACCTGCGAAGGCTGAACTGAAATGAGACGGTCTGCCCTACGGCGGATTTTCTGTTCCGCCGTTCCCACCTTTACCATTGCGCTGCTCCTGTCAAGTTCTTTTGAAGTTCTTTAAAGACGGAGCCAGAAACTTTGAAACTTTGATTTTAGTTGTTTATTTTTTTCATTTATTAGAACTGGAGATGCTTCACCGCCATCTACTGAGGAGATTCCGTGCCGGCGAGGATTCGAGAACATTTGTATCGTTAGCCATTTGCCTCAGTTTAAACCCAATACTTATATTTAAAAGACTCTCCTCAGCCGCCGTTCTCTCCTCTGTTGACGCCATGTTCTCAAATCCTTGCCAGCACGCAGTGAACCTCAGGATATGTTGGCTTGCCATAGAAAAGGACACATTTCTCGGCCACATATGAAGGAGCATTCGAAATGGGACAGTCTAGTCGCACCGCTGTGATGCAATCGGCCTTCAAATGCAGCCTCTGAAGGACGCAGCCCTGAATTGGGACACAGCTGCCAGTCACGAAATTATTTTAATTTTCTAATTTTCTTATTAGCCTGTTTCACCCTGAGATGCACTACAGTCCCCAGCATGCATTGCAACATAGTGTGTGTTCTGACCCCCCAACAACAATCTATGGACAAGCGGTTACACAAAATGAAAAGATGCCTGGTGTCTAATTCAAGCATAAAGGCAGTTTTAAAAAACTACCTAAAACTATTTTTTTTTGTTAGAATTATTTTAAGGAAGTTTTCAGTGCCTATTTTGCTGTTGCAGTTTCGACATATTTTCAATAAACAATGATCCTGTTAGTGGTTGAGTTTGACACCCCCGGCTTAATGCATGGGTTAGTTTGGGGAAAAATGCAATTACTATTATTATTAGCAGTAAATAATAGTTATTACTATTATAATACACTGTTACTAATTCTACAACTACTAATAATAATACTAATTCGAATAGTACTTTTTATTTTAATTACAAAATCTCAAAATACTTTTCATAGGAAAATAAGCAAAACACTACAAGGCTAAACCGTTCCAGTTCAAAAGTGGTGAGATGTTCCTTTAGATTGATGGATAATGTGTTGAATATGGTTCTATATAGAACATTTTTGAAAATAGTTCAATATTACCCCAAGCTTGACATCGTAACAATAGTAGAACTCTTTTAGGTGCTATATAGAACCATAAAATAGGTTCTTTATAGAACTATGCACAAACACATTCTCCATCAATCTGAAGAACGCTTTTACGATGTAGAGAACCATTTAAGCATGAAAACGGCTCTATATAGAACTCATGGCGATCGCTCCAGTCTGTTGCTGAGTCAGCACTGGTTAAAAAGACTAGACCAAATGACCACAGCTAATCCGGCTGTAATGATTAGTCAATAAAAAATGACAAAAAGTTGCTTTCTTAATTAATAAGCAGTTAGTATGCAGTCAGCATGATGGTAATCGCTGTTGTCGGAAGAAAATCTCCACTTTTGACCTTTTTCATTTTTTGACATAATTTGAAAATACCCGTTGCTCTTTACATTGTATGTAAATTTCATAATAAATGGACTAAAAGAAACAACCCCAAAATGACTTTAAAAATGTCTGGTTCCTTTGACTTACATTAAAAGTAAAATATGTTTTCTCCTTCTCCTGTAAAGTTACCATTTTGGAGATACAAGGTTTTGTTCCAACAGCAGCGAAATACATATTTTAGATTGTCATACTGCTCGCTCATACGGTAAGAAACAAAGATGGACACACAATTATCTGTATTTTTAACCACATTATGTTTATCTCTTCTAAAGTATTCTGGAATCTCTGAACAGTTGTGCATGTTTATTACTGTTCAGCAGAAATCTATTACACTATATTACGCTATAAAAACAGTAGACAGTAATCTACTCTCTCCTCAGTTACATAACGCTCTTTTTCAGGTTTGATTTCATGCTGTTGTGTTGGTTCAGCTCCTGGGCTGCATTACTCCTGCTCGCTCCTCTCAGTCTGGAGCCTTTTATTTTAGACTAAAAAGAGAACATATCTAACAGACTTCAGCTCCTCTGCTGACAGATGCAGGATGGACTAAGAAGGTTTTTTTTTGAGCTTCTATTTTTGTCCTTCACTTCACATTGTTTTTCAGAAAAGTACTTTTACTTTCACTGCAGTGAGAAAACTTTCATTTAAGAACTACACAAACCTCTTCACCACAACCACGACAGGGTTAGAACAGGCGAGGCAGAGCAGCTCAGGGAAAACGTGCTCTAATATTTATTAATAAGCATAGGGGTGGGCGATATGGCAAAAATATATCATGATACTTCAAGACATTTTCACAATACACGATATCCACCACAATATTTAGTTCTTATGAGATTTAATAAGTTGGAACAGACAAGATCCTTAAAGGAAACATAAAAATACAACAATAATAATAATAATAATAATAATTAGTTATGTACACTTTACTGCCATGGTACTGCCTTATTTCTGCAACCTGATAGTTTTGAGATAAAACACAGTTTTGGTAAAATAGTGGGGTACTATATGTACCTCTTCACCCTGAATACATCTAATAAAACATTTTAAGCCCAAACTAATCTGAAATAATAAGGGACTATTCTGCCTCACAACACCCTGTATATTATGTATCCCTCCACCATGAATGGATTTTAAGGTCAGAACCTTCTTGAAACTATCATAAAACAGTGTCTCAGTCATCAGGCAGTGAATTCATAACCATTTCATGTAGGAACTTTCTGTGAGGGAGCTTTTAGAGGTGGACGTCTGGTTCCTATCACGACCACTGTGAACAGTTCTGACTCGGTAAGTTTCTCTAGGACGGAGCGTTTCACACCAAACCGCTCTGAACCACTGTTTACATCTGAACCGTTATTTATGCAGACACTTTGGAAAACCGGTGGAGTTTCTAGACTAACCCCTTTAAGAATGGTTTAAAAAGAGCTGGTGTGTTCAGGAGCTGCAGATTAATATACTGACATTAGACCTGTCTGCCTGTCAGCGCTGCGTAACAAGGTTTAAAGTGGCTCAACTACATTTAACTGGATAACGCTAAAACAGAACAGACGCCAGCTGCTTGTTCGAACTTTCCGTTCCACCTTAAATGGTGCTGCAGTTACATTCGGGCGCCTGAGGAGCCAGAGTGTAACCGCAGCGGTGGTTAAGGTGGAGCGGAAAGTTCGAACAAGCAGCCAGCTTTAGCCTGGTTTGCAGCCTAAACACGAGCGATAATCTGCAAACCAACGAACACTTCAACTGTTAGGCTCACTATAGATGGCTTAACGGCGAGAAAGCAGCACTTAAGCACCGTTAAAGTCCAGTAAAAGTGTAATATTTCTTTATTATTTACCTGAACGGCTTCAGTCCTGCACCGCAGCGCTCCGTCTCTTCCGCCTCTTCCGCCTGCCTCGCTGGTATGTAAGCATGTGGGCGGCGCAAGGCAGGTAGGCGGGCCCTGGCGCCGTATCCACCCAATCAGCGCGTACTTTGATTTATTGACAGAAGCGTGACATTTAGCCCCGCCCCCAACAAACGGCACTGATTTAAAAAAACAATACGGAGTCTGAGGAAGGACACGGGAGGCATGATAAGGTAACGGGTAGCGGAATGTAAACAAAATAAAAACGACACAAAAAGAATAATTATGACCTTTTTTTAATGACCAGGAATATTTTTATCTATTATTTGCAAATTATAAAATATCCTCTGCAAACTGTAAGTGAAACTAAAAGTGTTTAAGCCTAAATTCAAAATATTTATATACTGTTTTACTGATTTCAACTCCCATAAGAACATTCTACGTCTCAATATATGATTATACATGATTTATTTTAAATATATTATTTTTAGATACAAAAAGCTGCACGTGCACCCCATGCTGTTCAGCTAATTAATATTTTTTATGTTTTATAATTTATCATTTTTTGTATTGCCTGATTGAGTGATCAGAAAAAAAGATTTTTTAAAATATAAAACAGTTCTACAGCAATAACATAGCTGGAGTGCTACTTGTGGTTAAGCCTAAATACAAAATAAAAGTTCTATTTGCTAGTTAATGGGTCACTTTACACAAGAATGCATTTTTTTATGTTTTAACTATTGTTTTTACTTTTATCTCTTTACTTTTTATTTCTTTTATTAGTATTCTTTTTATTTCTTTTATTATTGTCAATTTATTGTCACATCTATTTCTTTTATTTCATTATGTTTTTATTTATTTTATCCTTATCTGCTCTGTCACTTGATAAGTTGTTATATTGTAATTTTAATCGTTTATTGATTTAACAGTGTATTGGTACCTTCTTATTATTAAATTTACTTTTATGATTTTTATTATTTAATTGTAGCATTTGATTTATTTTTTCCCGTACAGCTTCTCAATCCCTGATTCCTGTATTACTCAGGTACATGATAAATGAGGGTCTCCCTCAATGTGTTCCCGGTTTGAATAAAGGTTGATTGATTTTTTTAAGCAAAAAAAAAAAATCAAGTTAATCAGGTTGGCCTACTCCTCTCCTGCTGCGTATACAATAACTGCATTCACAAAAATGGCAAAATATACATAAGTTTATTGTCAGCACAATAAAGCAGTAGAACAATAATGCAGTACAAACATTAGAATTCATCACATTTACAGCAGAGTGCAAGTGAAGTTGCATCAAGTTATTTTTCAGCACAAAAAATGTCCACTGAGTTAAACTGCCCGTGACGAGTGAGGAGAATAACGAAGCTAGTCGGAAATAACGTACAGCTGATGCAGGAGCTGAGAGCTCATGCTACTTTGTGGCCTTCACAGCCCTCGAAGCTGAAACAACAATCGCAAAAAAGCTGGTTTAGATGGCAACTAGACCAAATGACTACGGCTGAACTGTTCTAGGGCTGTCATGATTACTCAATTAAACTCAGTAACTAAACTGAAAAAAACATATTAATTAAATTTGACCTTCTCAATGAATGAGCAATTAGCGGTTAGCATTAGCACGCTGCTAATGCATATTTCAGAGTCGCTTATATGAATTTTTATCATATATTTTATCATTGTGTTTTAATATTCTTAACCATCTTTTTAAAGGCTTCCCTTCCATTTTTATTATTTGGCCTTCTTTGAAAATGCTAATTACTCAGTCGTGAAAAAAAATAAATAATCAGTAGATTACTCGCTTCATAATATAGTCAACAGTGACAGCCCTAAACGGTTCCTTAGTGCTAATCAGAACAAGAAATGGTTCTCCTGAATAAGGCATGAGCTACATCCGCCCGAAAGTACAGAGGAAACGCGACGATTAGCAGCAGACAGCAGTACGATTTAGACCAGAGTAAACAGGAGGTAACCTTAACTGCAATAAGGTGGCTAACAGTCCAGTTATTCATCAATATACTCTTTAGTTCACAATTTAGAAAAGATATTATACAGATTATACAGATACACCCCAAAACAGACTCGAATGACCATGAAGACGTGACCTTTAACCTTCCAAACAAAAGCTATTAGCCTACTACAAACAGCACGGTATTTTTCAGCAGAGACATTTTGAGGGTGAAGCTTGTACGAGTTTGTTGTTGTGAGCTGTTAATGCAGTCTGAATGGTTGTGTTGATAGGCAGCAGTACAGAGAAATTCTACAGAGTTGCCCTTTCCAGGCTCCGCCCACAAACACATTCTTACGTAGCTACTTTTGTGATGTCGGTCAAGTTTTACAGAACGCTGCACAAAATCCACTCAAATTAGGCTGTAGCTTAGGTTTAAATGCTAAGTAACCGAGCTGGACTGTGCTGTTGTAGCCAACCAAAATAAGGAAGGCCAGAAACTAGATGTGGCCGATACGGCAAAAATATAATATCATGATATTTCAAGAAATTTTTACAACACACAACATGTCACTGTATTTATTTTTTCAGACATCTGATCAGTTGGAAATGAAAAAAAAGAGCCAGTTTTGCTACATTTAAAAAAATACTATTAAAAACTGCTATTTTTGTTCAATATTTGGCACTAAATCCAGCTAAACAGGACTAATTTTGCTCTCTTTATAATAAAACAGGGAATGAATTAGCCCCCATGCTAGCGTATGTATACAAACACGTATGTACCCGCTCTCATTTGCCAACACTTCGCTGGAACAGCAATGTTATCAAAATAAGAGTCCCGGAGAACTCTACTGTTAAACCTAAGTTCACTTGATTTAACTGAACACTAAAATGTATGCAATTATACAACTAGCGCTACTACTAATACTAATAATAATAACTACTAATACATAGCTACACTACTACTGTCTAAAAATAGTAGTAGTGTTGATTTGTGGTGACACAAAAAATGCTAATTAACACTGACACTGGCTTTTAAAGAAATATCAGACACATTCTTAGTTAATCTGAATGTGAAACTACTGCTTTGGAGTAACTTCAGCAAAACTATACAAACAATAGTGTAGACTACGGCATTAGCTCGGCTAGCCAGCTAGCAATGCTAAAACAACTGAAGTAGGTGAACTTTCTACCTAGCAATCAGATGTTTATTCCTTAAAAATGAAATAAGCAACAAAATTTACATCCGATCTAGCCTAGTAGTGTCACCATTCATAAACATACACAATAAATAACATTAGAAAAGAACAACTAAGTAAATAAATGAAAAAACTGAGTCTGTTCTACAGTTTCTCATTAGGCTGAATGAATAACCGGCTCTAAATGTAGGTATTGTGATATAAACTGAGTCTGTTCTACAGTTTCTCATTAGGCTGAATGAATAACTGACTCTAAATGTAGGTATTGTGATATAAACTGAGTCTGTTCTACAGTTTCTCATTAGGCTGAATGAATAACCGACTCTAAATGTAGGTATTGTGATATAAACTGAGTCTGTTCTACAGTTTCTCATTAGGCTGAATGAATAACCGACTCTAAATGTAGGTATTGTGATATAAACTGAGTCTGTTCTACAGTTTCTCATTAGGCTGAATGAATAACCGGCTCTAAATGTAGGTATTGTGATATAAACTGAGTCTGTTCTACAGTTTCTCATTAGTTTGAATGATTGTGTTCTGTAAAGCTTGTCCAACCTCAAAAGTATAGCCATAAAGGAAGGCATTTGTGGGCAGAGCCTGGAGTGGACGATTAAAACCAAAGACCATATAACTGGACCAAAAGCTGAGAAAGAAATAAAGCACAAACAATAACGATTCACAATAATCCAGTTGATCTAGCCCTCTCCATCAATACATTCACACAAAGATACGGTGTAAAGACTCAGCACTGATAGAGGTGAAGCACAGAACACAGAACACTGTTCCATAAGAGTCAACTTGCTCCAGATACTGGGGATGAGACAAAACAAAACAATATCAACTAAAGGTAAGTCCAAATAAATTACGGTATTAATTACAAACTAAAGAGCTACTGCAGATAATGCAAAAACTACAATCACAAGAGCTGCGACAGGTGCAGCCCAGGAGATATTTTCTACCGCTTTTAGTCTCTTTCTATTGTTTTCAGTTCCTCAACCACCATGGAACCTTCATACACGAGGCATCAAAAGTTTGGGGACACACACTAGCTTTTCAAAATGTTCTATAATATAAATTAGTTGTCTTTGCTGGTTTGCAATAACTTAACACGAGGAAAATATATAACTAATGATAATTTGTAATAACTTATTTCCCTTAGCTGCACGGAAAAGTGTCCCCAAACTTTTTTTTATTTTATTTTAGACAGACTGCAGTCTATCTGAGGAAGCTCAGACAAGAACCTAACCTGCTGCAGCGACACTCTCAAAAATGATGTGTTACCACAATTTTAACCATGTTGGGGTCAGGACTCAGCTTTGACTTTGTTAAATAAAATAATAACACACTGGCTGCGTTAAAAGTAGCTAATAATGTGTTGTTTTCAAAGCAGAACTACATACATGTGAGGATTTGGCGACCTCTCTGGTGGTAAATGTGTAACTGCAAGCAATTTGCAGAACAACTTTTTGCATCATTTGTGAAATATGCGGAGCTCCAGCTGCCTTAATCTGAAAAAAAAAACAGCTCAAAGTGGTCAAGTAGGCTATGCCATTGTTTCATCTGTGCTAACCAATCAGATCGAGGGTGGGCGGGGCTTCAGCACCAGTAAACATGTATGCTAGACAACATCAACCATTTAACTAAATGTTAGGGGTGCATAGCGATACGGGAATTATATTAGTATTGGCAGTAATCTGTATTTTTTTAAATTATCGGTATTAGACAGATTTGACCAATAATTCCAACCAAAATCTAATTATATAGTTATTGTTTTCTGGAAGAGAAGAACGATAATGTGACACTGGGATGCTGTGCTAAAATGTTTGCATTTTATAGGCCTGTAGGGTCAATTTTTTTCTATTTTATAAATGTTTGCATTGGTGTCAGCATTGGCATCAACATATATGTATATATGTACATGAAAATATTAGATATCGGCATTGGCCCAGAATTCTCATATTGGTGCATCCCTAACAGCTTATTAGAAACTAATAACCCAGCTGACCCGACAATTACAAAGCTATTGTTGGTTAGCAACAGGCAGAGCGTAGCCAGAAGCAGCATTTAAAAAAGTGTTAGTTGTTTAGGAAAACGTGGTTTGCATTTTTCAACTATTTAAAAAACGCAGTGTGACCAAACAGCAATGCTACTTCTTTAATTAGAAAATAAATAAATAAATAAATAAATGGTACGCAGTGCTATGGCTTTAACACATCGGTTTTGAGAGCGCGCCGTCCTTCACCACCAGGTGATTTTAAACTCGTAGATGGGCCGCTTGCAGTAGTAGTGGTTGATGAGGTGTTTGTCACAGACTCCGATGCACTGCTGGTCCGCGGTGATGCCGCGCTCGGCCAGGTCGCTCACGATGCAGTGCAGCAGGTCATAAACGTCCGCCACGGCCTCCCACGGCCCGAAGGACACGTCCACCTCGCAGTGGTGCTCGAACAGCTTGGCCTCGCTCTCCGAGCGCTCGAACCGCAGGGAGTTGAAGAGCGGCCGCTCGTACGGCGTGATGGGCATCTCCTCCTTATAGACGCACACCTTCAGCTTGGCGAAGCGCGCTTTCCTCTGCATCGCTCGCAGCTTCGCTATCTCCACAATCCGCTCTAGATTATCTGAGAAAAAAAGGGGGAAAATTCTTAAATTTAAATGAAAACACATTTCTCACGACCACCACTGTCAATAACTACAGAACTTACATATTAGTTTTATAGCAGATCCTGAATAATTCACAGTAAACACTAAATCATTAACATAGTTACTAGAGCTGGGCAATAGAACAATATTTATCGGTATCATGATAAACTACATCACAATATACCTGTTTGAGTATATCATTGATATTGACAGTACTTAAAAACACCCCCACCTGCATGTTTGATTACAAAGAGAGCATCATTGGTCCTGTTTAACTGGGTTTAGTGCAGCGAAGTGTGTGAGATGTTGAATACAAATAATTGGAACTATAGTTTTTGATAGTGTTTTTAAAATGTGGCACTACACTGTCTGTTCTAAATTATCAGATGCCAGAAAAAATAAATATCGTGACACATCGTGTATTGTAAAAACTTCCTTAAGAACCGTTATATTACATTTTGCCATATCACCCAGCTCTAGTAATTACTGAATAATTCATAGTCAATACTGAATAATCCATGGTAAACACTGACTAATTCATAGTGGATACCGAATAATTTATAGTGGATACCGAATAATTCATAGTAGATATCGAATAATTCATAGTGGATACCGAATAATTCACAGTAGATACTGAATAATTCAGAATAGATACTGAATAATAGCATCTTAAAGTGACAGTTCAAACTAAACCCTTTTCCCCCAAATGCCGACAATTTTTTAAACTATTTCTTTAAAGTGTGAGCCACCAAACACTGATCCAGATTGAGGACAGCGCACAAGGCAAACCTGCTGAGGCCCATTTCTATCAGTATCTTCAGTACGGTACCTTTATAATACGGCAGCAGGTCCAGGAAGGCCTGTCGGACTTTCTCTCCGGTCAGAGGCTGAGTGTCCTCCAGGCTCTCCAGCAGGGGGCCGATAGCGTAATACTGCGCCTCTCTGTGAACCGCACGCACTCGGTCCCTCTGCGGCAGCTCCCCCCCACGCAGGAAGTTTAGGATGTCCCTACAATCACAACAAAACAGGACACGTCACACCGGCACCAGGGATTAGCATAGCTTTCAAACCTCTGTTACTATATTACCATAATAATATTATTACTGTGCTGCTGCTGCACAAACTCAAACTGTCTAATTAACCATTGCTCCACCTGTTTTTCCCGTTTTGTATCCTAATATTTTATACTAAAGCTGTTTGCTATTCAGTGTTGTCCAGAGGAGGATGGGTTCCCTTTTGAGTCTTGGTTCCTCTCAAGGTTTCTTACTCTTAGGGAGTTTTTCCTTGCCACTGTTGCCATTGGCGACGCTCATGGGGGCTCAGACCCGGATTTGTGACAACACCTGTTGTAAGAAGCACTATATAAGTAAACTTTGACTTGACTTTGACTATTATTTATTTTATTTACTCCAATTGCTGATAACGCATCATCATTGGAGCTCAAAACGGTTGGAGGAGAACACTAACTACTAATTGTGTTACATCAGACTTAGCGAGAGAGGGAGGATCACCCCCCCCCACCCCCAGTGAGAGAGAGGACAATTATGTTCTCCTGGACTCCCACTCCCGGATGGCTGTGGCATCACCGGCATTGAACTCTGAATTATTATTTTTGTTTAGGTTTTTTTTTGTTCAATTTAATTTTAGTTTCAGTCAGATGTAAAGAGCATTAATAGTTTTAGTTCAGTTAACTCATTTTCTAATACTCCACACACCACACACAGTTCACGGCCCTCTCTTCTGTTTTTAATGTACGAAAAAAACATTCAAAATTCACGCTGAAATTTAAACTGATTGGTTTTTAATATTGTTAGTTCGTGTCATATTAAGCACGATTCATCACATCATTTAAAAGACTAAAATCTTGTCATGTCATGACTTTAGCTCCGCCTCTAAAACAACTTCTGATTTTTGATGATGCCACAGCGCACCAGTGGGTTTCAAAAATAAAAGCACTTCACTGAAGGTTCTGTAAGCTTACATACATACATACATACATCTTCTAAACAGCTTATCCTTCTGGGTCGCGGTGGGGTGCTGGAGCCTATCCCAGCTGTCATTGGGCGGAAGGCAGGATACACCCTGGACAGGTCACCAGTCCATCGCAGGGCAGACAGACAGACATACACATTCACACCTAGGGGCAATTCAGCATGTCCAATCAGCCTGACTGCATGTTTTTGGACCGTGGGAGGAACCCGGAGTACCCGGAGGAAACCCACGCAGACACGGGGAGAACAGGCAAACTCCACACAGAAACGACCCTGGTCACCCGGCCAGGAATTGAACCCAGGCCATTTTTGCTGTGAGGTGACAGCGCTACCCACTGCGCCACCGTGCTGCCCTTCTGTAAGCTTATAAAATTTTAAATGAAGGTTTTGAAAGGAGAAGAGCGCACTCGCAATCTGTTTGCAACTCACCAGAGGAGAACTGCTCTTCACACTGGTTACTGCCTAAATGGATTACAGAAATGGCTCAGACTTCTGAAGTGCACAATAGGATATGCATGTGTAATAAATAAGTAATAACCAGTGTGGAAAAACAGGAAGTCATGCACTTCAGTAGAGGCAGAATCCTGAATAAGAAATGAACTTAAAAGCAACAACGAAAGGTTTCACTGAAACCAGAAAAATACTAATGAGCACTGAACATGTATATCAGATGCCAAACACAGGCGCTTTATTCATTAACAGTAGCAGATTCATACAGATATTAGTTAGATTTTATGTCACTTTTTAGCTGCATTTAAGCACATATTTGTAGAGTCATAGTGTTGTTTAATTCTCCTGTAAGCATAATTTAATTTCTGTAAAAATTACAGCTCATTTATTTTGTATAACTGTTTAATTATATTACTGTTTTAGTTCTTGTTTTAATATTTTAGCTCTTATTTTTTAATTTCTAGCATCTTCATTACTGAAGATTATCTCTTTATCTTACATTATCTCTTTTTTATCACCTTTTATGATAATAAAAATAAGACATCCAATTACCAATTATATATTACTATTACATATTATTATCCAATCATATTATTAATATTATCTAAACTTATCTGAGCAGTCTGGACTGACCACAGATCATCACTCTATAGGGTACAGTCAGAATCAGGGCTCTCGTTCCAGTGTGACAGATGTTTATAAGTTTCTGCACCCTGTATTCACTCACCCGAAATACGCTCCGTCCCGGTCGATGAAGTAGCGCCCCTCAGCGTCTCGGGGGATGTGGTGCCGTCCGCTGAACATGGCTGCCAGCATGGTGTCCTCATACCGGCGCAGGGTGGACAGACGGGTGGTGAAATACGTCCCTCCAACATTCAGAGGAATCACCTCAGGAAACTACAGCACATACAGAGGAACCGGGGCAGGGGGACGGGAGGGGGGGTCGGGGGGGGGTCACCATTATTCTAACCCATATTATAACATGTGTAGTCATAATAGGTGTAGTCATAATATGCACTGGAAACAAAAAAAATATCTCCATGGTTACGCTACACCAATTTCCATAGTTGCGCTATACTTGTTTCCATGGCTACACTACACCCCTTTCCATGGTTACACCATACCTGTTTCCATGGTTATGCTACACTCATTACCATGGTGATGCTATACTCATTTCCATGGTTATAAAACTCATTACCATAGTTAGGCTACATTAATTTGCATAGTTATGCTATATATGTTTCCATGGCTACACTACACCTGTTTCCATGGTTACACTATACCCATTTCCATAGTTACACTACACTCATTTCCATGGATACACTATACTTGTCCTGCACAGTGTCCACTCGCTCACTTTGTTACCAGCTAGTAGTAATGATGTTCTCATTATCTTGTATCGTGTCATGTGATGATGTAACACTTTTGAGTAAATCATCCATATGGAAAACTACAGCAAAACATCCATAAATGAACTGTAACATGATCATATCACCAGATCAGGGCCGTAATATGTAAAGTGCTCATGTTGAAAAAGGCTCTGGCTCTAACGCGATTACACTAATCAGAGGACACGGCAGGTTCATCAGTGACACCTTCAGCAGGGCCTTTCCAAAACACCATTAAGCACCTTTAATCCCACAGAGCCGCCCGATTTGACAGCCATGTGACTGTGAGCCAATTAGAGGAGCCGCAGGCCCGCCCACAGGGAGGAAACGAGCCAGTCAGGGTTGAGTAAACGTAAAGGGAACCTGGTTAATGCTGCTGTTGCCTATAGTGATCAGATCCAGCAGTTAAGTGGAGGGACGTGAGGAACGTGTTACTGATTTAATGCTCAAAGAAAATAAATAAACAACTAAGAACAAGCATTGAAATAAAGGAACTGACATATATGACAAAACTGCTGCTTTACATACTGTATATCACACCGTTACATTACACTTCCGTGTTGTAAATTACATATCGCTGTTGTCGGAAGAAAACCTTGTATCTCTTTACAGGAGAAGGAAAAAGCTACTTTACTTTTAATGTAGCTCAATGGAACCAAACGTCTTTCCAAGTCATTTTGGGTCGTTTCTTTTGGTCCATTCATCATGAAATTTACACACAATATAAAGAGCAACAGACATTTTCAGATTATTCAAAAACTGAAAAAACAACAAAAATAGAGATACAAGGTTTTCTTCTGACAGCAGCGATATGGTATATCCAGAAAGCACTATATACTGAATATGATAGTGTTGTATTATATATATTATGTACAGTAAACTGTATATACAGCATACTACACAGTTAAATTAATACCAGCGGCGTTTTATTATATACATATACAATGTTCAAAGTACATACTGTATATTATCCTGTTAAATTAACACAGTCTTATACTATAAACAGTATGTACTGTATATTACACTGTTAAATTAATACTCAGTGTTATATTATAAACAGTACATAACAAACACTGTATATTATACTGTTAACATGTCACTATTGTATTATAGAGTATATATTGCAAGCATTATATACCATATATTACACTATTAAATTACCATTTGCGATACTGTATTATACACAGAATACAGTACAATTTATATACTGCATATTGCAGTGTTAAATTAGAGCTGGTGGTGTTGTATTATATGCAACGTATAGAGTACATGCTGTATATCATACAGTTTAATTAACACAAAGTCTTGTATTATATACAGTATACACAACAAGCAGCATATACTATTTATTGCACTAATCATTTAACATCTATAACATTATATTATATACAACGTATGCAGTAAACAGTATATACAGTGTATTACATTAAATGAACATTTATGAGGTTCTATTATATACAGTATTCACAGAAAGCAGAGGATACTGTATGTTCCACTGTTAGAGTAATATATTACATGGTTAAAGTAACACCTACAGTGTTTCATAGAGTATGCAGTATAAGCTGTATATGGCACTGGTAACATGTCACTGTTTTATTATATACAGTGTATACAGTAAGCATTATACACTGCATATTATACTGTAAAATGAACACTTACGATGTTGTATTATACAGTGAATACAGTACACTTTATATATATATTTCAGTGTTAAATTAAGACTGAATGCTGTACTGCATACAGTATATACTGTATTTTACAGTGTTAAATTAACACTTATAATGCTGTATTATATATAATATACACTGTATATTACACTGTTAAATTAAGACTAATAGTGCTGTACTATATACTGTATATTACACTGTTAAATTAACACTTATAATACTGCAATACATAAGGTATAAACTGTATATTACAGTGTTAAAGTAACACATAATGCTGTACTGTATACAGTTTATACTGTATAATACAGGGCTGAACTGTCTAGACGGTTACAAATGGAACACTGAAGTCAACAATGGGCGTCAGATTAAGCCTAATGGTTAATTTCCATCAACCACATACTTGTGTTCAGATGTCATTTGTGTCTAGCTGCGTGTTATTAATAGAGCTCATATGATTCAATTAACAGAACGTGTATTAATGTGTAATACAGCTCTGTAGGAGTGAATTCTGTGCTGTCGTTCAGTGGTTGTCAAAGCGGTCCTCACAGTTTTTGCTGTATCTGTATGTTGCAGGTTGAGCGGTTTGTGTCAGCACTGTAGGCTCTAACGCAACACTGTAGGAGTGAATTACAACACCGTGTTAATCCAACACTGGGGATTTTACAGAGACGGTATTAGCTAAGACACCCTAATGCAGCGTGACACGACACAAACAAACCAGCCTAGCAGTAAAAACACAAACCTTTAATAAAATACAGGCGCAATTTATAAACAAATCACACACAGAGCTGGGCAATATGACAATATGAATCATTATCGTGATAAACTACATCATAACATGCTTTTTTATCGTATCGTGGAGATCATCAGTTCACAGAAGTGGGCGATATGGCAAAAACATAATATCGCAATACTTCTATGAAGATATGTTACGATATTATTTTTTCAGACATTGAATCAGAGAAAAAAGCCAGCAGTCCTACATTTTACTACCCAAAACTCTGAACACAGTGATTTTTATTAAATATTTGTCACTAAATCCAGTTAAACTGGACTAATTTTGCTCTCTTAATAATGAAACATGCAGTTGGTCAGTTTCTACAAGCACTGGCAATACACACGATATAATCAGAACAGCATACTGTATAATATTATGACATAATTTATCACAATAATGATATATACACTGTCATATTGCCTACTTAGACAGATTCCAACGGCATGTTAGACCACAAAGAGGGCAATTTATTCCGACTAGATTGGACTGAGCGCAGCACAATATGTGAAATGTTCAATATAAATCATTGTACTTATTGTTTTTGATGTTTTTAATGTGGCACTGCTTTCTCTTTTCCAACTTACCAGATGCAAGAAAAAATAAATATATAAATATTGCGTATTGTTAAAACTTTATGAAGTATTGTGATATTTCATGGTTTGCCATATCTATATGTTATAAGCCTAAATACATGCTCCCATATAGGATAATATGACAATATTTTACCGTTATTGTGATAAATAATGTCAAAAATATGCTTTTATGAGCGTATTTTGGATATTATCAGTACTTAAAGAACACTGAGTAACTGCATGTTTAATCAGAGAGCTGTTTAACTGGAGGATAACATTAAATAAAACACAGTTTTTCATAGTAATTTATGAAAAGTGACATTAAAAAGTTATTTTTATATCTGCTTTTACTCATCAAACTTCAGAAAAACTAAATATTGTGATGTATCGTGTAGAAAAGAAAAAAAACTGAAAAAAATCTATTAAAAATGGTTCTTCAAGGATTCTTTAGTAAACCAAGAGTTCTAAATAGAGCCATTTTTGCATGCTTAAAAGGTTCTCTGCATGATGAGATGGTTCTTCTGATGGAGGACGTGTTGTATATGGTTCTATATAGCACCGAAAAGGGTTCTTCTGTTGTTATGATGTCATGCTTGTAACAACAGTAGAACCCTTTTTGGTGCTTTACAGAACCATTTTCAAAAAGGTTCCACATAGAACCACATGCAACACATTCTCCATCAATTTCACCAAGCAGAGAACCATTTAGGCATGCAAATGGTTCTGTATGGAACTCATGGTTCTGAACAGAACCATTCCCTTTACTAAAGAACCCTTGAAGAACCCATCTCTTTTAGGTGTGTGTAATCCAGCCCCATGTTAATAAACTAGCCACACCCCCCCATAATAAACAAAAACCTCAGTTTTACCTCCTGAGCTGGGCCGAAGGAGTGGAGGGCCTTCCCCAGGCTCCCCAGCGGGCTTCCTGTGGCTGCTCTGCGGGGCTCCTGCTCCTCCAACCCCGCCGCTGCGCCCCCCAGGCCCGTCCCCGCGTCCGCGGACTCCTCGCTCTCACTGGCGGCCGAAAACACCACCATGACCCGCGGCTGCGGGCCTGCGCGGCCCTCCGGCCCGAAGCGCCTCAGCAGCGGCGCGTCTCCGGCTCCGTTCGGCGTGTCTCCGGCTCCATTCTGCTGCATGCACACCGACCACACGGCCTGCTGGGAGGTTCCGTCCACGGCGGCTCTCAGGCGGACCGACTCGATCCAGCAAACCGGGAACAAATCACTCTCAGGCGGCCGCAGCTACAGATAAGCGGGGCTTCTGTTTGGGTTTGTTTTCCACCCGTTTTCCGGCGCACCACGCCCCCTCTGCCTACTCTACGCGGAGATTGGCTGTTATGATAAATATGAAATAAACATGAAATTCTGTACATTAACGTTTATTCATGATGTAATAAATATGAAATGTATTTGCATTAATGTATAAATACGCGCACGTACAGTGTCATATATAAATATATATGCCATTTATACATAAGTCTGAATATTATGTATACATTTTGCTTTTATTTAAATACATCATATTTGAAATGTATATTTGTATTCATGTTCATGTATATTATTTATATTTTCACTAACAATATCATATATGTATGTGTATGTAAATAAAGTCTTTTACCACCTGTATTCCGACAAGCCCCGCCCTCCTGTGCTTGGACTGTTTACTAGGTCATACACCCTGGCAAATTATACAAATCATAATTAATGCAAATTATAGGAACGATTACAAGCTGCTTTGATGTTGCTGTAATATCTACATAACTTGCATAATTTAAGTGCGCTTCTGTTTTATTTTTAAATGTTTCTTTATCCTTTAATATAAGCCTATATAATGATAAACAAAATCAATATTCTAAACACATGCAGTGAAAAAGGAGCTCTATGGCGTGTATGTTAAAATAAATACAATAAACATATAAAATTTACTACAATCTAAAATAAATCTGTTTATTTCAGTATATTTACGATAAAACGTTTATTTTAGGTTGTAGCACTAAATACATACTCATTTTTAGTATTTCCTTTAGAACGAAATCTAAAATAAATCTGTTTTTATCCTAAATAAACGTAAAAAAATCAAAGCAATGTAAATTTATAATCCTAACGACGTAAAACTGACAGCCAGTGTTCTCGGCCACCAGAGGGCGCTGCTGCGCTAGTTATTAATAAAACTGGTTTGTGCTGATTTGGCGTCGCTGAGGGACACAGTGGGGTTTATTTCAGCAGGTATAATCAATTCATCTGTCCTGTTTCTGTACAATGTGACCCCAGAAAACGTGTTTGTATTCAAATTATCACACTTTTACTTCTATCAAGAATATTTGTGAGTAAAGGAGTCGATTCTTTCACTCTTTTACCTTTTATTCTTTTCACTCATTTTAGCCATTCATATTTAGCTACTACTTCCTTTTTGTGTTTCTTTTCTTTTTTCTTTTCATCGGTACTGCCCGAGACTGAGACTGACCGCATCTCTTTTTTGACTTTGGAGCTTTTTATTTTAGACTAAAAGAATCACAAAAAGAGAAGAAAAGAGTTTGACAAACTTTAGCTCTTATGTGGAGATGCTGCATTTACTGAGAAGTTCCATTGTATTTCTAGAAGCTACTCAGTATTTAAGTACTTAATTCGTTTTTTGACCTGAAACTTCTGCTCTTCCTTTTCCAGGTATTAACTGGCCACATTATCAGAAACACCCACATTGTACTTCCTCTAACTGGCCACTTTATTAGAAACACCTACCTTGTGCTTCCACTAACTGGCCACTTTATTAGAAACACCTACCTTGTGCTTCTATTCACTGGTCACTTTATTAGAAACGCCTACTTTTTGCTTCCACTAACTGGCCACTTTATTAGAAACACCTGCCTTATGCTTCCTCTAAGTGGCCACTTTATTAGAAACACCTACCTTGTGCTTTCACTAACTGGCTACTTTATTAGAAACACCCACCTGATACCTCCACTATGTTCGAGTTCAGCCGCAGACTGTAGTCCATATGTGACTGCACAGTTTATCAGCCTCCTCTACTTCATTCATCACCGGTCAGTTTCTGACCTCAGGACCGCTGCTGTCCGGATATTATTTGGCTGACAGGATAGCGTGTGTGGTGCTGGTGCGAGTGCATAAGACGCAGCGGTGCTGCTGGGCTTATAAACACACGTGAGTGTCACTGCTAGGCTGTCAGAAACTGACCACTGATGAAAAGCGAGACTAACACAAACAGTGCATTAACAGACGGGCTACAGTCTATTGTTATGTGCAGCAACATCTAGTGACATCTAGTGGACGACATGAAGTACTGCAGAACTACAAACTGCACATTATGAGTTGTGTATAAGGCAGTGAGCAATTTTAGCCTGAAACTGATTAAGACCCAAGAAATGTTAAAATAAATGCAGTCCACTAGTAAGATATTCAGAATACAAAAGATATTTACTTCCGTTTTCACACCTAGGGTGCTAACAAATAATAATAATACTAATAATACTAATAATAATAACAATGAACTTGATACAGTGATATTGCTTTTTTCATACGGGATCAGAACTGTGATAGTGCTGGGAAGAGAAAACAATGATGCTAATACACATAAAAACCAAGCAAATTAAACACATATCAACAAAACAACAAAGTGGAAGAGTTTTTTTTATTCAGGTAATGAGCTTCAGCTCCATCGTGTGGTTCAGAGTTATGAAACATAGAAAAATAGACCACAAAACTGCATCAGCAGCTGGTAAGGAGGGAGGGAGACACCGACAGCGTTTCGGATCGAGGCGCTGGGCTAAACTGAGGTTCTACCTGAGCTTCGTGAGAGGCCGGAGGGGCAGATGGGAGAATGAAAACACAGAGAGAGGCTAAAGGACTCAGCTTTGAGTCGGACCTGCCTTTCACACTCACACACACATCAGCAAAATGACCAACACGTCCTGTTTACAGGACGAGTTTAGGGGGAAAAGTCTCATTTACACGTTTCTCCTCTTAATCCAAACGCAGCTGATCAGCCACCACGTTTGCTTCTTTGGCGCTACGAGGCTAATGTAGCTAACATGGCTAAAAACAACATTAGCAGCCCTTTTGAAGTCTGAATGTTGTATAAACTGCTTTAATAGTGTGAATTACAGTGTCAGAAACCCACATATTTAAGTCTAGTTAATGTTACTTACAGGAGAATCCTGCATAATCCAGTGTGTGAGGTGTAAACAGAGTGATTCAGAGCGGTTTGGTGCGAAATGGTTCAGATGTCTTTACAGTGGTGGTGATAGGAACCAGGGGTCGCCATGACTACAACACAGATATAGACATTTTATTTACTATCCAGAACCACCAGTGAACCTACACGAGTCTTCTGAGTTTATATGGAATGTTGATGATGGAAAATAGTGGAAAATCTGACATAATCAGTTTTCTTTGGGGACTATTTTGCCTCACAGCGCCCGGCATGTTACGTATCCCTCCACCATGAATGTTTTAAGAGCAAAATCTTCTCAAAATTATCAGGCAGTGAATTCATAACCATTTCATGTAGTAACTTTCTGTGAGGGAGCTTTTAGAGGTGGACGTCTGGTTCCTATCACCACCACTGTGAACAGTTCTGACTCGGTAAGTTTATCTAGAACAGAGCGTTTCACACCAAACCACTCTGAACCGCCCTGAACGACTCGGTTTACATCTTAACCATTTAATTATGTAGAATTTGGTGGAGTTTCCCTCTAAGTACAGTTTGTCTGTATTTATTTCGTAATTTCTTGTTAGCAACATTAGCCTCGTAGCTCTGGTGCTCAAGCTAAAGAAGCAAACTTTGCGGTACATGCCTTTGCTGATCAACAACATTTGGATTGAGGGGTGGAATTTGGGTAAATTTGATTTTTCACCTTATTATTTCTTTAAAATCACTGATAAACTGATAGAAGTGCATTAATGTGGTTAGGAAATGATTGACAAGTGTAAGATTATTGCCATTCTAGCTTCAAAACAATGACACAAAACAGATACTTGTTCAGAATATTGAAGTGTTTGATCAGACAATTGAAGTACAGTAAATTGTGGGCGGGGCTTAACCAGGAAATAGCTAAAACTAGCCTTTGGGACAAACACAGAGTCTACAGCAATGCTACATGGACCTATAAATGCTGGCTAGTGCCATACAAACGCTGATCACTCTACAGTATTGAGATGAATGTGGTGTCTGTACAGCTGCTTGGCGTCCATAATAATCTGCAATGTTCCCATAGAAAAATATGCAACAAAACAAATGATCAGATGCCTCGTCCACAGTCCTGTAAGTCCTGTCCACAGTCCTGTGAGTGCTTCATCTCATGGTACCGACAACAACATCAAAGTGACACTGAAGAAAAACACAAACACACGTTAACACCAGCGCCGTTCACACACGCTGTCTAAAATCCGTTTCTTCTGGAATTTTGGTCCATATTACAGGATATTTATTGCTGATAATAACAACCCGAGGCTTTACAGCTCTGGGTGAGGCTGGATTTTAGAACAGGACACTAAAAACAGCTCCAATTCAAATTCAAACATTTGGACAACTTTGGTTTTTACACTCGGCTCTGAAAGTGTGAGCAGATCTATCGCCTCGGTTAAAAGAACAAACACAAACACCGTGACCTGAGACAAGAACAGATGAACTTTTGACTCACTGACCTCTCCAGGCTCCTCCCACAAGTGTGTTCTGTCATAGCTACTGCTGTGAGGTTACACAACCTTTGCAGAACGCTGGTAGAAATCCCATTAAACCTAAAGAGAAACTGTAGAACAGACTCAGTTTATATCACAATACCTACATTTAGAGTCGGTTATTCATTCAACTGACTCTAAATGTAGGTATTGTGATACAAACTGAGTCTGTTCTACAGTTTCTCATTAGGCTGAATGAATAACCGACTCTAAATGTAGGTATTGTGATACAAACTGAGTCTGTTCTACAGTTTCTCATTAGGCTGAATGAATAACCGACTCTAAATGTAGGTATTGTGATATAAACTGAGTCTGTTCTACAGTTTCTCATTAGGCTGAATGAATAACCGACTCTAAATGTAGGTATTGTGATATAAACTGAGTCTGTTCTACAGTTTCTCATTAGGCTGAATGAATAACTGACTCTAAATGTAGGTATTGTGATATAAACTGAGTCTGTTCTACAGTTTCTCATTAGGCTGAATGAATAACTGACTCTAAATGTAGGTATTGTGATACAAACTGAGTCTCATTAGGTTTAATGGGATTTTTACCAGCGTTCTGTAAAACTCACCCAACCTCACATCAGTAGCTATGAAAGAACGCATTTGTGGGCGGAGCC